TGGAACGAGCTAGTTGCCGGACTAGAGGCCGGCGGCGCAGTGGGAACCGGGATGGGTAACGGCGACGCCAGCGCCGCCGCCGCCGCCGCTACTGGCAGCGTGGATGCCGCGGCAGCTTCCCTGGCGGCGACGGCGGCGGCGCGGTCACTTCGCGGTCCTGCTGTCCTCGTCTGTGACGGCGAGGAACTCGATGGGAGCGCTGCGCGTCGCGGGGTCGGCAGCGACGGCGGGGCGCAACCTGGTAATGCCGTACAAAGGACAGGGTCTCCGCAAACAAGGGTGGGTGGAGGGGCCATCGGCTCAGCGCCGCCTTTGAGTGAGCTGGTGGGCTCCAAGGACTCAGATGACTTGATGCTGGCTGGCATCGTGAAGTACGATGCCGGCGGCGGCACCGCCGTTGGTGCTGCCGTTGCCACCGATGCCGCCGCCGCCGCCGCCGCTGGCGGCAGCCCTTTTGGGGCGGCCTCTGGGACGGCGACGGCAGACGCCGCCGCCGCCGCTGGCACCCCGTTTTCCTCCTCTGCTGCCGCCACCGGTCTGGACGAGGATGACGAGTATGACGAGTCTGATGACGCTGACGGCGACGGCGACGGCCGTGGCGGAAGCGTCACGGGGAGGTCTCGCGCTCAGGAAAGCGGCGACGGCGAATGCCGCAGCGTCGACAGCGCTTCCAGCAGCAGCAGCAGTAGCCGCAGCGGCGGCGACATCCGGCGCGGCAACAGCAGCAACCTGCGGGTCAACGTTGACAGCGGCCCTGCCGCCACCGGCTCCACCGGCCCTTCCGCCAGCGGTGTTGCGCGGCGGCGGAAGGGCCGTCAGGGCTCGGAAGTTGCACCGTCAGCAAGCGGCACTCGGCGCGTCATCCTGAATACGCCATCAATGAAGAAGGTCGACAGCGGCGGCGGCGGTGGCGGCGGTGGCGGCAGCGGCGGCGGCGGCGGCGGCGGTTCCGGCGGCTACAATGGCGGCGGACGTCCGCCATCCCCACTGCCAACGTGGTCAAGCCGACGAGCTGGACGTCCTAGCGCTATGCTCGACAACCAGCCCTCGCTCCAGTTCAGCGGCAGCGGAGGCGGAGGCGTTGCCGCGGTCACAACGGCGGGTAAAGGTGGCGGTGGAGGCGGAGGCGGAGGCACAGCGCCGTTGGGCCGTCGCACGTCCGTACGGCATGTCGACTCGGCAATGCAGCCGCATCCGGAATCTAGCAAGGTTGGCGGCGGCGGCGGCGATGACGGCGGCAACGGCGGCAGCGGAGGTGGCGGCGGAGACGCGCAGGGTGGCCTGTTTGGCGAGCTACAGACCGCGCTGCTGGCCGTGGACGCCGGCGTCGCCGCCAGCGACCATACCCGTAGCTCCATTACCCTCGGCGGCATGGCCGCCAGCGGGGTCGCCGCCGGAGCCCCGGGCGCCCCGGACGACCCGGACGAAGTAGGCAGCCAGGGCAGTGCGGTGTCGGGCATGGATGAGGAAGTGGGCGGCGCCGCTCACCAAGCCGATTACCGGTACGACATCTGTACGGTTTCATAACACGTTCGTACGACTTATATACGGCAGGTCATATGGTTGGAATCACGATTTCGTGGCGGAATTACTACAGCGATATTGCAGCTGGTGTGTAAGACATCTCTTGGTGTGTTTTTCCCCCCCCCCACATCCCCTTCTTAACCCCTTGGCTCCCCTCCCCGTGCTTTCCCCTGTTCACCCCCTCCCCCCGTGTTGCACGTGGCGCCATGTCTCGTCATATCACATCAAAAACGTGACATGGCGTGGCTTAGGCGTGGTAAACGGTTTAAGAAGTTGGCGGCCATGTTGGGCAGTCCGCTGGTTCAGAGAGCAGCTCGTGACTTCCGGTGGCAGGCTCTGTTGGCGAATGTGGCGCAAGTGGTTTCCAACCTCATATCATTTGTACTACTTACGTTGCTGCTGCACACACAGGTGAGATGGCATGAGATCGGGTGCGTGTACGAGCGAGCGAGCATGTGTGTGTACGACCCGGAATACGTGTGTTTTGTCTTGTCCTGCGTTGTGAACATCCGCGGCGAGAAGACTAATGGTCCTGGCTGGCGGAAGCACCCGGATGCTTTTCTCTCCTGCCACGTTCGCTCCCTTCGCATCCTCTCTTGTCCTCTTGGTTTCTCGTCTAAGAAAGTCTTCCTGATATCGTCCTGATGTTCAGATAAAGAGCGTGGGGCGACTGACGTACACCGCCAACGGGTTGCTGTTGGCGCATGAGCTGTTTATTGACCTTGTGCTTCTGGACAATTTGCACCGCGGTCTGATTCCGAACACATCCTGGTGGGTGCGGGGGTGCGGGTGTGGGTGGGGGGGTGCGGGTGCGGGTGCGGGTGTGGGTGCGGGTGTGGGAGTGGGTGCGGGTGTGGGAGTGGGTGCGGGTGCGGGTGCGGGTGCGGGTGCGGGTGTGGGTGCGGGTGTGGGTGCGGGTGTGGGAGTGGGTGTGGGTGTGGGTGCGGGTGTGGGAGTGGGTGCGGGTGCGGGTGCGGGTGCGGGTGCGGGTGCGGGTGCTGCTGCGGGTGCGGGTGCGGGTGTGCGGGTGCGGGTGCGGGTGCGGGTATGCGAGTGCGGGTGCGGGAGTGGGAGTAACTGTTGTTGTCGGATTTGGGAAAGGTAAGTGCACGTGTTGGCGAGGGTCGCTACACATACACACATGCATGTTCACATACATACATACAAACGTTCATGCATGTAAATTATGTATGTCTTGTGTCATTTTCAGGTATGACTCAAATTCCTTGGCAAAGTTTTCGTCTTCGGTTGAGGCATCTCTGGTGAGGTTCGAGCAGCACCACTCGTCATCGTACCTCGACTCGGGTACGGCACGTATCACGGACGCCGTGCCGTACAATCCATCGGATCTAATCCATAACTGGAACTACCCGGCTTGGCCTGTCATTGACTATTACAGGTGGGAAGTGCTGGCTTGGAAATATATAACCATAACGGAACGCAACGTGCGTGGCAATTTAGCAGGACTCACTCGCACAATGCCGTACTGTACTGCAGTGTGGATCCTCCCCGAGTCGACATGGTCAACAAGTCGCTTTGGGAGCTGGGTACGAGCATATGGGTGCAGGCATTGGATGTGCACCACATGCAGGTAAAAGGAGTATCGTACGGCGATGCCGTACAGAAATGTACGGCAAGGTGCATTTAGATCGGCTAGTCCTGAGTCTTGTGACCGGCGTACTTTTGGATTTGCGACGGTGTACGGCTGTACGAACATGTATTGCCAGGGCGCGGTGCGACTTGTGCTGCTTGTCTTCAGGAAGGAGACAGCACAAGGACAGCTTCAATGTGTTAACAAACAAATCTTCGGTGTGATATCACGATTGGTCCGGAGGATTGGTCCTAAGGAGTGTTTCCTGGCACAGCTAGTGGCCAGGGCCGGTGTTGTACCATCTGCAGTCAGCAAGTTTTCTTAGGGCTCTAAAAGTCATTGTCCTGTTGGTGCTTTGAAAAAGTATTCCCGGCGCACGTGCTGGATTATACAGACGAGCCTGGCGGCGGCGAAGCTCCGAAACCGTACCGCCTTCCTGGACGCCCCGCTCCGAAACCTCTCCGCCCCGACCAACAACGACCCCTTCACGGACATCATTGTGGCGCGACACTTAGCCGGCGCGTATACCCGCGACACCACAGACAACAGCAGCAGTAGCAGCAATGGCAGCAGTAGCAGCAACATCAGCTGGGTGACGGGGATCTGGACGGTGCCGGGAGAGGATGGGCATGGCGGCGGCGGCGGCAGCGGCAGCAGCAGCAGCACCGCGGTGGTGAATTGGACGGTGCCCCTGCTGAACCCGGGTCTCTCTTGGAGCGATGCCTGGCGGTTCGTCCTGTCGGCTGGACCCACGCAGCTGTATCAAGGCTACCACCATACGCTGGTACGTACCTCTGGCTTTGATGGCAGTTGGATCCGTATGTATGTATGTATGTAGGCATGTATGTAGGCATGTATGTATGTATGTATGTAGGCATGTATGTAGGCATGTATGTATGTAGGCATGTATGTATGTAGGCATGTCGCCATGTATCTAGGCATGGAGAGACATGTATGTGATACATTTATGACCGAGCCCGGTGGGTACTACCGCCTGACCAGAGGCGAATACGCTGCTGTCCTTAGCGGAACACACCACCTCTCGCCGGGCAAATCCCGTCCTCCGAAACCAAGGCGGGGGGAGGCAGGGGAAAAACAGGCGCTGAGACGTGATGACGGCAGCTCTTACAGCACAGCGAGGGAAGCCCCTTCCTCAGACGCGGCTCAGACACGGTACCGTATCTGAAGGGGAGGGAGGGTCCTCTTAGGGGGGCTCGGAAACCGCAGCCCTGCAGCCCTGCAGCATCTGTACATATGAATACATATATCTGTACATTGCGGTTCGCCCTGGCGTGCTACTAGATTTAGCTGGCGTGCGACTAAATTCAGCGTACAACTATACGGCATCTGTGCCTTCCGTACTACCTCCCTCACCCTTTTTCACCTTTGCCTCCCTTTTTATCCCTTTTAACAACCACTACCTCCCCTTCAACAGCTAGCCCTAACCGATCGGGCCGTAACCGCTTCCAACAACATTAACCGCGTCCAGCTGGTGTTGATGTTGGTGGAGGGCTGTGCGGTCGCCACCCTGCTCGTCACGTACATGTGGTGGCTGCAGCACCGGGTGACGCAGCAGCGGTACCGAGTGTACGGCGTCTTTATGGCCGTACCAGTGGGTATGATCCGGGCGCTTGCGTCCCGAACCATCACGATTAGCCAGGGATCAGATTCCGAGGTGCGGGTTGGGGGAGAGGGGGGAGAGAGGGGAGAGAGGGGAGAGGGGGAGAGGAAAGCGCCTAGGGTTTTGATAGGGTTTGGGGGGAGGGGGCAAGGGGTATGCGCCAAACACACACACGCTTGGTATTGACGTAGGCGATTCACATTTAAACCCTCACCCACACGGGTTGCAGGAGGACTCGGACGACGACGAGTACCAGCAGCAACAGCAGCAACAACTGTCAGCCGCGACGCAAGTCATCACACGACAGGTACGGAACTGTACGGCATGACGTATGGAAATACACGTCCATGATCGCGCCATGCTGTATGCATGGAGAGTCTCGAATTTCAGGGGAGGTCATTTCGAATGTACGACGCACCTCGTACGGCGGTGTTTGTACGATCCGTTGTGACATTACCGCGCACCCTCCTTCCTCACCCATTTCCTCCACCTAAGCTGTGCTAACCCTGCCCCACCCGAGCATTTGAACGCGTTTGCACAATATGTGCATGCTGTACAGCATTGCCAAACTACTTCGTACGGAAATGCCGTAATCTCCGATGCCATGAACCGACGCCCATCTCAAGGCCTTGGACCATACGTTATTGACGTTGTTGAAAAAAGTCATGAAAATGTCCCAGCAATGTATGGCAGATCACCCACGACCCCTTTTGTAAACGTTGTCCGCAACCATCTTCGCAACTCTTCGCATCTTTCCCCCCCACCACCACACACACCCTCAATCCCACACACATACGCACGCGCCCCCACCCTGTCCTACCTCCCCCCACCCCGTCCCCCCGCAGTTCAGCGCTGCAAACTCTTCCAGTTCGTTTCAGAGCGCCGGCGGTTTCCTAGGGTTTCTGTCCCAGTGGCGAGTTCTCAGCCGCCGTAACTCTAGTAGCCTCAACCCCGGGGGGGCCGGGCGGACCTCTCGGGCGAGTCGCAAGTGAGCGCTGTGGACTGCGGGTCGGGTTGGGTTTAGGGGTTGGGGGGAATGGGGAGGGGAGGGAAGGGAGGGGAAGGTGTGTAAGAGAGGCACAGAGTGGGTTTGGAGGTTTCTGTGTGTATGTGTATGTTGCCCCGCATAGGTGTCGTACATGTATGTGCGGGGATGGCTGGGGGGATGTGTTTGTTTGCAGGGAGCAACAATTGTGACGTATTAATGCAGGAGCTCGTCTCGGAGTTTGGGATGTCAGTGTGGGATGCCAGTGTGGGATGCCAGTGTGGGATGCCAGTGTGGGATGCCAGTGTGGGATGTCAGTGTGGGATGCCAGTGTGGGATGCCAGTGTGGGATGTCAGTGTGGGATGTCAGTGTGGGACCTCTCCAGGTCGTCCAGCCATCCCCCCCTCTAGACAACCTGAGGATAAGAAGCACATAACGAGTTCCTGTCCGCGCGCACGCTTGCCTGCCCACCTGTCTGGCATGTCACCGCTAAACCCGCGCCTCCACGTCCACACCCTTCCCATCGGCTGTTTGGACCCTGGCACAATGCTGCTGCTGCTGCTGCTGCTCTCCTTTCCCTCCGCTCCTCGCCCTCGTCCCCACCTCCCGGTGTCCTAAACAGGCTGCACCGGCGGCGCATGATCCGCAACAGCCGGGACTCGCTGAAGCTGCTCATCCCCTTCGTGGTGTGGGGCGTCGCCATCTGCATCATCTACGCGACGGGTGCGTGTGCCGTGAGGCTTCTGCGGGGGAAAGGGGCGAGAGGGAAGGAGGAGGAAGGCGGGAAAACCTGATGTGCATAAGTTAAAAAGGAAATATTGCCTGACGAGGGTTAAGGAGCGGGGGGAGATGAACTCGCCGGCAGGGGGCGAGATGGCGGCAGGGCACCGCGGCTCGGTAGGGTTTAGCCTTACCTTTGGGGGCGTATGGGGTTGGGTGGGTCGCGGGGAGTAAAAGTACTCGCTATTTCCGGCGTTTTCTTCCCGACCCTTGCCGAGTATGCTTCCTAACATTTGTTTCCATGCACGCGTTTGGTGCTTCCTTCCCTCCATCCCTCCCATACTCCCACACTCCCACACTCCCACACTCCCAGCACGACGCGTCTCACGCTGCGTTTCAATACCCTCCGACCCCCTTCAATCCATGTTTCCCCCCCCGTCCTGTTTAGGCTACTACTACCTGCAGCAGGTTCAGGCTCCCGTGAATTTGCTCTCCGTCATCGACTCGGCCATCATTTCCGTACACCGCCTGATGCTGTACTCTTTGCTAACGTGCTCGGAGTTGGCGGCTCACGCACGAGTGATGCTACGTGAGCTGCTGGCCAGTGAACTGCGAACCTTCAAGGTACGACAGCGACGTCGTACTGACGTGCACGCGTACGGCATTTTGCTATAATCCGTACATTCGTTACACATATCCCATCATGATTATCGTCATCATCGACAGCAGCATCACTTTTTGAGGATAACTTCTCCTGCTGTAACTATGGTTGTGCATTTATGCATGCGTTTCTCTGTATGTGTGTACGTGTATGTATGTATATATATGTATGTGTGTACGGACCAAGAGAAGCTCTAGGAATCCCGGGTTGATCTTTCTAAGGACTTCCGTATTGTATGTACGGTGCAATCTCCACACTGTCTGTATGTCTGTGTATGTGCCTATGCATAAACAATAGGTGTGCACATTGATTCTTGTTGTCCCTTCTTTACGGTGACCACCTCCCACCACCTCCCACCACAGCAGCCACTAAGAGCCTCCAGCAGTGGTAAGGGAGGGTACGAGCTCTAGAACGGCCTTTCCTCCACACGACAGGAAGTGGGGCGCCCGGCCCCCCCCACCCCCCCCCGCTCGCCCCCCACCCACCCACCCCCATGACCGGCGTGTTCCGTTTATGGGTTTACTTCCCACCATACCTGGGAATACACCCGCAAACTCAAACCCCGAAAATGCACACACACACACATACAGACGCACGTACATGCACGCGTATGCATCACACATGCACGCATGCACAGAGAGGATAAGGTACAACCTTACAAATCGATGGGTGCCGTACAACCTGCCACGAAGCACCTTATCCCTCCCTACGCCGCAGCTGCAATGGGATGTGATGTTGTACGGCGCCAACGGTACGACGTCGTCGGTGGACCGGCGGTTCGGTCGGATTCAGGAGGGCGTATCGTTTATAGCGGTAAGAGGGTTTTATGTTTCCAGTTTAGTTTTGTACCTGCTGTTGACAAGGGTTTTAGGGTTTTAGGGTTTTAGGGTTTTAATAGGTTTTGTTATCCGGCACGGTTGCTGCTGCTGCTTGGTCGGCTAGGTCCCATCGCTGTTGGCTCGATTGCTGTAAAAAGCGAATAGCGCATGCATAGCCAGAGATCTTTCATCTTGGAGGTCGTTCACCACAAGCTATTTTTTAAACAATATTTCGATGTCAACCAGAACAGAACAAAGATTTAACACACACCTGCCGACGTACGACATGATGGTTGTGGAGATGCTGACTGGATGTAAACCGATTATTGTTGTTGTACGACAACGCAGGACGACCTGGCGCGGATCCTGTACCGGGCGGAGAGCTGCAGAGTCTTCGATACGGAAGGCTGGTGTCCGAATATAAGCAGTCCTTTTTATGCGGTACGGATGTACGACAGCCGTCCTTCGTTCTCTTTTCAGGGTTGGGGTGGGCGCGCCGTGTGTGTGCGTGTGTGTTTCGGAATATGGGGAGGTTGGGCTTAGGGTTGAAACAAGGGGCAGTAAGCCCGCCCACAGGTGATTGCATGTATGTATGTGTGTGAAGGTTACAAGTATCTGACCGGGCCTGACGACACTGGCCAGAGGCTGCTGCCCAGAAAGACGGAAAGACCGCCTAAGCGCTCTCCCGCGGACGGGAGAGGGGCGTGAGGGGGGCCTCTGCCCCCTCCTAAGCAGCCGAGAGCCGCAGGTCCGCTAGCTTCGCTCTCCTCCCCCCCCCCCCCCGGGGGTGGGGGTGGGGGCCGTCGCACCCGCGCACGCTCTCCCGAGTCAAGAGGCTCCGTCACGCGAGTTTGCGTTCACCGAGCCTGAAACACGCCACACGACTCCCCTCCCTCCCCGGCCTGATCCGGCTCTTGGGGTGAGGGTTCACTTCTAAGACAGAGGAAACCCGGAAACCCTGCACAGACCCCACCCCTCTCTTCTAAGGCACGAGGTCCGATTAGAAAGCTCACCCGGCCTCTCACCCGATTCTCCGTTGCGGGGGAGCGGGGGCAGGGTTAACCGTTAACCCACGCTAACCGCCTCTCGAGCGCACGTGACGGGGGCGGGGGACGGACTCGGCTAGCAGCTACCGACCAGCTCACCGACGGGGCTAGGGATGCCTCGAGGCAGCAGCACCACACCGGCAGATATATCTGCCTGCTCTACAGCCCCCCCATTCGCCTGCGACTCCTCCCAAGCCCATCAACTTAAGTCCATACATCTGATATGTACGGCACACAGGCCACGGAGCACGGATTGTCGTACATGGTGGAGCGGTTGGTGGAGGACGTAGAGGGGCTGCTTGCTGAGTCCTTGGAGTTCGCCGACATCAACAGCACCAGGCTGGCGTACATCATGACTGTGGGCCAGGTGGGCCCGATGTCCGCGAGCAGATGTGCGAGGAGCTGGGGCCGACTGGCAGCTGTTGTGCCGGCGTGTGTGTTTTGTTTTTGCGCCATCTCGGAGCTATCCCTTTTCATCCCACCCCTCCACCCCACCGCTCCCGACCTTTTTCCGACGGCAAGCGCTGATCCGTGTTAGTGCGCGTGCCGTCTAACGATGTGCCACGCACTTGCAAGTTCCGCAACACACGTGCCGTAATAAAACGCTAATAAGTTACCTCGTCTTGCACGGCTTACCAACAAACTCCCTCAACCAACTCACCTAACCGACTTAGCGACTTAACCGTCTTTCCCAAGATCCAAACCAACCTGCTAAGTTCCCGTTTCCCTCTTCCACTCAGTTTTATCCTCACTCTCGAACCAACTTATACCTGCCCCTTAAATTCCCAACTGCTAACCAACTGCCTGCAAAACCGGATTAACTGCCAACTGAATTAACTGTACAGACAAATTTCTTAACCGAAAACCTTTTTAACCGCCACCCGACCAACCAATCATTTAACGAATCTCGCAGGGTCCTCTTCAGGACGCTTTTCACGTCGTTCACGCGGAGACCGTTACCATTGTGGATAACTACTACAAGGTACGTGTACGGCAGCAGCAACCAATAACTCCCTATGGATACAACCACCACAACCACCACATCTTTACACCATGAAACTAGTATGCGGGGTACGACAACAGGGAGCGGATCCTTCAAGTGCGCTGCTCAGGGAGTGCACTGGCCGGAGGGAACAGGGGGAAAGTTCCCGTCACGCGCATCACGGCTGTTCTGGTTTCGGAGAGGATGTTTCGCCGTACGGCGGTATGCCTCTCCATCAGATGTCAGGGCGTCAGGTGGTGTACCCGATGGTCCTTGTCCCACGTATGTACGTATGTACGTGCATTCCACCTCCCCAGATACGATACACAAAGCCATTTTTAAAAGTCTACAACGACGCCCCCCCTTCCCCACACATACCCCCACACAACACACACTGTCCGTAACACACATACACACACACGCGCCCCCTTCCCTCCCCTCTCCCCCACTCTTTCCCCCCAGCGCTCCGCCCCCCTTCCGAAACACGCACACACACACACACACACACACACGCACACACACACACACACACACACACGCACGCACGCACGCCCCTCCCCCTCCTCCCTGTGTCCCCGAAGGTTGTCGACAAGCTCCACATCGCCGCCATGGTGCTGTCCTGGGTGCTCGCGGTTTGCTTCCTGTTCTGCATGCTGCGTCCCTTCCTGCACCGCAACCGGGGTGAGACCAACCGCATCGCCAAGATGTTGTCGCAGCTGCCCGCGGAGGTGGACATCGAGGGGCTGGTGTTCCGACTTCTGCTGGGGGCTCCGGCCATGCGCAGGTGCGTGTGTGTGTGTGTGTGTGTGTGTGTGTGTGTGTGTGTGTGTGTGTGTGTGTGTGTGTGTGTGTGTGTGTGTGTGTGTGTGTGTGTGTGTGTGGAGGGGGGGGAGGGGGGGAAAGAGGGTGGGGGTGGGGTGGGGTGGGGGCTGCTGTTACAGAGTTGGGGTGATGGCATATGGGGTTGGTTTGGGGTTTGTGGGGGTGGAGTTTCGGGTGGGTGATAGGAATATGGCGTAGAGAAAAGTACTCAGGGAAAGGGAACGAGGGTTGAAGGGAGTAGGGAAGAATGCACACACGGTTCATACACACACACGCACACACGCTGTCCGCGTCCCAGTAGGCCACCCTCCTGTTGAATTGTCAACTGGTGAGACTGGCGAGAAAGCCCTTTCACATCGTCCTCTCCACCCCCTTACCCTCTCCGCGACATCTACCAACCCCCCACTCCCTCGCATAAATACATATTATTATTATTATTCACACAATATTCGTACATACAATCCATGCATACAATGTTTGAATTATATGCGTACGTACATACGCACGCACAAACCCGCAAACCCAATAAAATCCTCGCAGGCGAAACCGGCGTGCGAGCGTGTCGTCGCTCGTGGCGGAGGACCCTGTGTTGGCGGCCAAGATGGCGCAGGCGGAGGCCCAGGCGGAGAAGCTCGAGGAAGCTGGCTTTCCGCAGCCGCTCCACCGCTCCTCCATGTTCTCTAGCTCCAAATCCCGCGTAGACATGAGCGCTGACGCTGCGTACGGCAGCGGCGCTGATGGCGTCAGCGGCGGTGGCGCTGACGGCGGCGGCGGGATGTACGGTATGATGGACCACGGCCGACGCGGGAGCGCCTTGGGATTGTACTCGCCGCCGCCGATGTCACCGTCGAAGTACGGCAGCGGCGGCGGCGGTGGTGGTGGTCATGGGTTTGGCGGCGAAGGGCGTACGGTCAGCGGTTTGTCCACTGTGGACAGCGGCGGCGGAGGCAGCGCTAGCGGCGGCGGCGGCGGTGGCGGCGGCCAGCGGCGCACGCTTGGCAGTATGGGGAGAAGTCTGAAGGGGCCCAGCTTGACTTCGGACACCCTGGGCACCAGCAACGGCGACGGCGACGGCAGCGGGGGCGGCGGCGGCGGCTACCAGCAGGGGCGCAAGGTCAAGGGCCGAGCCGCGTGGATGTGAACTCGATTGGCACCACCCGCGGCAACAGCATATTAATAAAAGAAGCAGGTTAGCAGCAACAGCAGCAGCGACGTAACAGCATCTTCTACTTCGCGAATAGCAACATCATCGGCATCAAGAAGAGCATTCGGAACGTCATATGCTAGAACGCAGTGCGGGAGGGGGAAAAAGGGACAATCAGCCGCTTCTTCCTTTCTTTTCTCCCTTAAAAGGAAGGAGAACTACTCTGCAGGCAATGAGGAAACATTAGGACATTAACACGTGTACTGCGACGTATACGACGCCCGTTGATATGACGTTGTGGTTCCTATTTCTTTCTTTTAGCGCAAGGTGAGGGGATGGAGAAGTACGGCGTCGTCCATGTATGTACGGCAACGTGTTCGCATAAAGCGGAGAAAGGAATGCGAGAGTCTGGAGAGGGTGTGAAGGGTGCCGACAAGGGGGGAGGGACTTTGTAAGGCGATATGTGTTGAGAGGCGAGGAGAGCTCCGGATGCGGAGTTGGAAAAAAGGAGAGTGTGCGGCAGACGGTGAGAGGATACGGCGGAGAGGTGTGGGGCGATGGGGAATGCTTTGGGGACGAAGCAGCGCATTGACACAGGGGGTTCTCAAAAGGAGAGCGCTGAGCAGAGAGAGCTCTGAGGACTGGTTGCTGGCTGTGCGCCGATGAATTGACGATATTGCCGTACTTGCAACGCTGCCCTTGCGGTCTGCCTTCTAACATGCAGCGCAGACGGACATACGTGCGTATATAAAGACGTATATACATACATACATACATGCCTCCCCATACGTGCACTATCAAGTACATCCCATCACACACACAACACGCACACGCGCACTGTGCTGAAGACGGAGATGATGTTGTGGTTTGCAATGGTGAAGGTGGTGAAGGTGTGTGGGGGGGTACGAAACCCTGCGCAACGGAAGCAGCACCGTACGGCGGGCGTTCTGATGGCGCCAAACAAAATACAATTTCCCGTTCCGAGTCCGTCTTTCCGTACCGTCCGTACACACATATACATAAATACACACGCACATACATACACACATGGGCGACGGCGTTTCGTAAACCAAGCAGAACTCAGACCAACACACATTATTATCAGCAGCTTAATCGTGGATCCTCTCTAGGGCCCTTCGTAACGCCTGAAGATTCTGTTTCTCTCTTTGTCGGTTCCATCTGGGGATGAGTACGACAGCCTTTTGTATCAGGATTGTCTTGTGCTTCCATTCGTACATCCGTGCGTATGTGCATATGCGATTGCTCGTGTGCGGTGATTCTGCTGTTTGTCGGTGTTTTTAAGCTCCTGTATGCGTGGAGGATGTTACCGAGGGCTCTTGTAGGTAGGCGTTTGCGTCAGTCCGCGGCCCCATGTGCTGCTCCCATTGTCTGTCTGTTGGGACGTTGCAGGGCTTTAGGGTGGTGGTGACGCCGCCACGTCATCTCCCATCAATGTACTTCCGTACACCTGCCGTTGCTCCGGTTATTGGTGCTGATGTGCTGACGGAAAGAGTCTGGCTCTGTTGTTTACGAGGAGGCTGGCTAAGGGATGGGGTGGGCGGAAGGGCTGCGGAGACGGAAGAGAGCCAGTCAAGTTCGACACTTGTCATTGACCGTATTCGCTGGTTGGTTGGTGACCGTTGAGTTAAACCACCTTCGTTCGTTGTACATCGTAGATGTTCAAATATGAGCTGCGCGAATGTATGCATGGGTGAGCAGCAGCGAGCGAGCGAGAGAGAGAGCGGTTTTGAGGATGTATGTGTGTGTGTGTAGGTTACAAGTATCTGATCGGGCCTGACACTGGCCACAGGGGCTGCTGCCCGTATATGTGTGCATGTGCGTGTTTTAGGGACGGGAGGGACGGGGCGTTTAACAACTCCCAAACGTTCCCCCTTTCTTTAGGGGGAACTGAATAACGAACACTTCTTTCCAGTTTGATGTACTGAAAAAGAGCCTCTATGTCAATTTAATTTCCCAGTGCGCTGTACTGCAGGACGAGGGAATGAGCATGGATACCGGTCGGACGGGAATCATCAAGGATATCAACACTCTAGCCACCTCCGTTGGTCCGCTAGCGCCCTTAGTACGGTTGCCGTACGTGTCGTACTGAGCGGCCGTGTTCAATTTACGGCTACAGTCCCACCATTTTGCTACGGCCATGCCGTACACTTGATGTTAGCTGCCGATTCGATTTTCCATTTTCTCAACCTGAGGGATGAAAATTTGTCCAGCGGTCAGTGTTGTACTTAGGGTTTGGTAGTTGTTTCCGTTTAGTTGCGATACACACGCTGCAATACGGTTGTCATGTTGTTATGTTGTATACTTGCAGCAGGTGACCCCACCTGGGGATGTGTATGTGTGTGTAAGAGAACGTGTGTTTGTATGTCTGTATGTATGTGTTGCGGGGCCCAAAAAAATGGGGTTGCAGCTGCATCCAGTTTCCCCCTTGGCCGCAGCCTATCCATCCCCACATTGCCATGATTGGACGACCAGTAGGCGGAGGAGAGGCGAGGTGGTGGTAATGGTGGCAGCCATTTATGAGCGCATGAATCCTGTGTGAACGGATCCAAACGATCCGAAAAAGGATCGTCAGTGTAATTGTGTCGTCGGTAACAAGTACGCATCCTTCGGAGGTGCTAGGGAAAGGCGGATGGGGGGCAGTACAAACACCCAGGGGGCTTCTCATCGAGGGTTCTTTTTCCTGAGCGCGTTGCACAGCCTGGGTGCCACGCATGTATACATTCATAACTATGTGTGTGTGTGTGTCTTGCATTGTCCGTGCTACGTCACGGGGTTGTCGGGGCCGTCGAGGAAGCTGCATAAGAAGATAACCATCCTTCTGCCTGAGGTACCGTACGAGTATGTCGTACTATCGGGCTGTCTGGCTTTTATTGGGCATGCCGCAGCAGGTTTACCGCAAGAAGAAGAACTAAAGGGGAACCCCTTTTATCTTTCCCATTCCTCATTTTTGAAGCTCACGGAAAGGATGCGGGTGCAGGTGCGGGTGTAGGTTTAGGTCCAGCAGCGCATTCAGTCATGCGACGCGCGTGCGTGTGTGTATGTATGTGTGTGCTTGTGTGTACTGCTGCTGTGAATTGATTGTGCTGCTGTGGCTTCCTCGTGAAGTTTGGAAGGGAGGGGACAAACAAGGGAGGAGAGGGGAAGGGGTGGTCGTACACGTGCCATCCGCCAGCCGTCGAGAGGTGACGGAGTGGGAACGGTGGGATAAGTCGAGGTGAAGCTAACAGCATATCGGTTGAGACATGACAAGTGAAGGTCGCACGGGAGGGGTGGGAAGCACTTTTGAAAAGGAAGGGCTACTCGGCAGTGGCGTGGCGCAGGTGCGTCGGAGAAGGGGAAAGACAGCGGTTGTTTCCAATTGTGGTGGTGATATGTGGTGGTGGTGGTGTGTGGTGGGTGTATGTTGGGGGGCCGCCCGAGAGGGGTCCAACAGGGCAATGCCAGGCGGATTGCGATATGGAAGAGTTGGGGTGCGGAAGAGTGCGGAGGTAGTCTCACAAGCCTGCCATCAAGGCTCAGCGCGCGCGAAGAATGGTCGGAGAGCTAAAAGTCTGGATAAAGGTCTCACACTCCAACTTGTCCAATTTTCAGCAGGTGTGCCGCTCGGTTGGCAAGTAGGAATAATGTGGCACTAATTTGGCACCTTGACCCTTGTTGATGAGGTTTGGCAACGTGAGAGCTGTTGGGCTTTGGCAACGCCCATTCCTCACTACGGGTGTCCTGAACGTATGCCATGTAGCTTTTATGAATTGAAAGAATTTTTGCTGTCACGTTGTGCCCGATCTCATTTGCTGTCATTCGGGCTTTGTACCTGTGGCGCTGTCGTACTTTTTGCACCATATCCTCCGCATGCATATGACAATGAAGGGCAGTCTTCGATTTAGGTTTGAGCGGGTGGCGGATGCACCGAAATGAAATTCATGATAGTAACGGAAACAAGTAACGGAACTGCTTTCAATTTGATGCGCACTGTTGTCCACTCTCCTCTTATTTTTTCGGCAAGGCAATGCATCGTGCTGTTCTTGAGCGGCGCTTAACTTGTGACCATGTGACTGATGACTAGACTGCCTGCTTTTGAAATAATGGAATGTAGAGTTGATGGCTTTGGAGGAAGTGCCCTTCGCCTATTTCGTTTCTTGAAGACTTTCGGTGTCCCCTCTCTCAGTTGTAATCAACGTGTGCCGTGCAGCCTGCGCATGTTCAAATGCGTCATAAACGATGTAATTGCCACGGCACCACCACATATCGACACACGCACGAAACACAGGTCTTCAGGAGCCCATCATACAAAAGCACATGCGTGTCGCGGAATCCAGGGCCCTACCTACGGACCTCCCCCTCCCCTTTCCCCCCCGACCCCGACCTCCTCCCTCGTGGTCTCTCCCCTCTCCCTTTTTCCCTCTCCCCCACCCTCCGCTCCGCTCTCGAGGTCGACACAGCCATGCCAGCACACTCGGGCATCACGCCACGTCACCTCAGCAGCGACCGCTTTTTCCCCCCTCCCCTTGCAAACACATCCAACCCGCCAGCCACACCCCGGTCATAACCATCTCTCAATACCCACCCGCATAACTCTAACGCCCGTTGCCCCGGAACTCCTCCCCCTTCCCTTGCCCTCCTGCCCCTCCCCTTCCCCCTACTCCTCCTCTCGCCCGCCGCATCGCCGCCACCCTCACACCATCCACCGGACAGACAAACCTAGGATCTGCAAGCGTGTGCGACCGCAGACAGTAATAGCAGTACGTGTGACGGCAAGGCAGCGCCAAAACTGCCGTCAGCGGCTCGTCGCTGCCGCAGAGAGGGCAGCCGCCGCTAACGACACCGCCGTCGGCAGCGGCTGCGGGCGCCACTGCCACATTACTCGGCCTGGGCAGCGCCCTCAGCGCTGTCCTCCGCAGTCGGTTTATATCAAGGAGTGGCAGCAGCAGCAGTAGCGCCTCGGAGAGCTCCTGCCACACCAGTTGGCGGTTGAGGTACTCGAAGGAAATGATACGGGCCATGGCGGCCTGCCGCCACACGAGGCGGGCGCCCACCAGCCGCTCCATAAGGGAGCTGCGGGGGGAATGATGGCGACGGGCCGTGTGTGTGCGTGTCTGTCTGTCTATCTGTGTGTGCGCTTCTTTTTTTGGCTGCGATCTGCAGCGCTATTTGCCGTACATATGTATATAGATATAGAGAGAGATATAATCGAAGGATGACGTGTCTGACCTTTAGATTATTGGATGGAAAGGGGGGTGTCGAAGACTGGAAGGAAGGCGCAATGAATATATGCGTTCGGCCTGATGAGTGGGTAGCGGGTTTTTGGGGGGGTGGGATGTGTCCGGATGCAGGTGGCGTGGGGGGGCCAGGAGGCGCAACGGCCGGCCACGAGGCCGTTTGGAGGGAGACGCGCGGAGAGCGAACGAGCCCTCCGTTCTGGCACGCTCATACTACGTAGCTCAGTATGTACACTACTGCCGCACTGCCGTACAACGCCGTACTGCGACATTGCGAACCTTCGACCGTCTCCTCCTTCTCCCCCCGGCCGTACCGGTAGTTCCCCCCAACGAGGAAGACCCAGGAGTTGACCGCCGCCGCCGCCGTCACCGCCGCCTCGCACCACCGCATACCCCGCCAGGCAATCCGCCGCCAAGACCCCGCCTCCGATTCCGCCCAGTCGCCCTCGTGCGCCGTACGGCACAGCCGTGACCAAGTGTACGGCAGTACGGCGGTGCCAAGCCCCAGTACGACGCGTTGGGGCAGGGAAAGGCCGGGTCCACCCACTCCCGATGGGCCCACGAGGTGTTGCTGCGGTACGACAACGACAACGACGTCGTGGTGATGGTGGTGGTGGAGGTGGAGGTGGAGGTAGGTGGTGGAAAACACGGCAGGGTTTTGTAAAAGGGGGTTTCGGGTGGTGGGGGAAATGCGAAGGAGGGGCAGCGGGTGAATAAGATGAAGAATATGAAGGGGATGGAGTGAAGGGGCTTATGGCCCATCGAACTGACAAATTAACGATCCAAACAACCAAACAAACCAACCGCTAATGTCGTTTGAAACGCTTATTAACGAACTGTGTAAAACTCACTGTAACTCGCGCACCTGCTTCCCGGCCGCCACCGCCCGCTCGTCGCGGTACCTGAGATTGAGGAGCTCCGACCCGGGGGTCGCTCGTCCCGCCCACACCGACAAACAGAACACCTGCATGGAATCAGAGGACAACACACACACACATACACACACACACGTAGAGAGAGACAGCATCACATTTCACCTTCCCCCTCCCTCTTGTCCGACTTCATCTTCATTACATCATCCCGAGGTGCCGTCTTCAAGAACGCCTTTTGGTCAGTCCTACTTCTGGTACACTCTTGCCCTGGCAACAGCTTCACTTGTCCATGGTTCGTCTTTCCCCCCTCCCTCCCTCCCTCTTTCCGTGGCAGCAGCTTCACGCGTTCGTGGTTCGTCTTTTCCCTCCCTCCCTCCGCCAGCCCATACACCCTCCCCAGTGTCGTACACTCACCATGCCGTCTCCCAGTAGAACTTTCCCCCCTTCCTCCCCCCCTCCCTCCCTCCTTCATAACCCACCATCAGTGACAGCACAGCTCGGAGCTCCGGCTCCCAGCTGGCCGCCTGACCCTGGGGTTGAAATGACGTCACCCGTCATGCCACGTGGTTACCGTACTGTGAGAGGCCCTTGCCACTGCCTGCACACTTGCACGCATATTCTGTTGCAGGCTGCTTGCCGCCAGCCGCCAGCAGCCCGGCGTGGCAGTACACAGCAGTAGCAGTAGCAGTAGCGACCTGGGCCCCCCCATCCGCTGTCCAACCACCCGACAAGAGCCCCACGCTTCCTGCCTACCAACATTAAGTTGGCGGCTTCCCCCCCTTACACACACTCATCGACCACACCTTCCTCCCCGGACCCCCCCTCTCAGCTTCCGATCTCCCCCCGATCTACGTCATCCCGAGGTCGCCGCCTTCAAGAACGCCTTTTGGTCAGTTCTACGTCTGGTAGACTCTTGCCCTGGCAGCAGCTTCACTCGTTCGTGGTTCGTCTTTCCCCCCGATCTCACCGATAGCACCAAACTCCTATACACACACAACCCGCGGGCGCCTCGTCCCCCATTTCCCATCTTGCCCCACACCACGGCTTTGCATATCTTCATAGATTCATATTTCCTCCCCTCCCCCCCCCCGCCCCAAAACACACACGCACACACACACCACACACAGACATGCACCCTCCAACACCTACCGGCGAGAAATGTTCAAATAGCCTCCCCAGCTGCTCCTGCGTTTACGTAACCGGCACCGTACAGCAATACACAGCAGCACAGCACCACAAACAACAATACACGGCAATGGGGACATGACGTGCGAGGTAACGCGGCATTCCTAAAGCCTGCCTAAAGAGGACAATGAGAGGACCTAAGGGAGAGAGAACACATCGAGGACGTAAAACATCAAGCACGGCACTTGCAATACAGCCGGCGAGCATATGTGTACATGTATGTATGTATGTATGTATGTATGTATGTATGTATGTATGCATGTGTACATGTAATGGCAGGTTTGGGGGCCGGGCGTCGTCGTCATCATTGTTGTTGGTGGTGTTATTGGTGTTGTTACTGGTGTTGTCCTCTTCCGTGTGTGGAGGGTGGTGGTCATGGTAAGTTTCCTTTAGTAGAATATTCCAGTGGGGGCACAACAAAGCAGATCCCGTTTCGCCCCCTTGCCCCCTCTTGAGCACCTGCAGCATGGCGCCCAGCTCGGCGTCGAGACGGAGGGCATCCAGCTGGGAGGACCGGAGGACGTGGAGGGGCGGCGGGGAACCCAGGCTGGGGGTTTGGGGTTTGGGGTTTTTGAGCGGGTGTGTGTGGAATGCGTGAAGGTGCGGGGGCCGGGGGGAGGGGGGAGAAGGGGGAGGGGGGAGAAGGGAGAGGGGGGAGAAGGAGGAGGGGGGAGAAGGGGGAGGGGGGAGAAGGGGGAGAATTTGGGGGAAGGGGGGAGATTGTAGGCGGCGTCAACGAGGGCAAGTTGCGGTCAATGGAGGTGGAGCTGTCAGCCTTTTTGTGATGCAAGTTAGGGATGGGGCCGGGAAGGCGCAATTACGACTGTCGGTCCAAGTGGATTGAGTTGCGGCACATGGGAAGCCATGATTCAAGCAGTTTGGCTCGGAGGGCAGAAACACTTGCAGGGTTTGCTAGAGTGGCGGCACGGCAGACCTGCGCTTTAGCTCCTCGACCTGGGGCGCAGCTGCGGCCGCTGCCACCTGCCAGGCGTCTGCGGGCACAGCCAACGGCGCAACACCGTCTTCGGCTGACTCCATCCCCCCTTTGTCGCTCTTGCGAGAATGGATCCTCGTAAGTAGTTACGAAACTCAGTAGTTCAGCGGAGCCATCGTCAAGCTCGCATGTTGCTTTATTACTGGACCTAAACCGAAACCGCCCCACAGCGCATCACCGAATAATAGCTCAATGAGCACGCAGTAACGTCATATTTTGATGTGATTGCAAACGATGTCACGTAGTACAGGCAGTATGGCTTGCATCGACAACTTGAAAGCCGCGCCAAGTGTACCCTATGCAGGCTAAAAATCTCGGGAAAATAATGGTACTTCCGACGATTATATAGCAGCTACGTGCAAGTGGGGATAACTTTCAGGGTTCTCGTAAGATTTACGGTAAGGGCGCTGACGTGGGATTTACACATGAACTCGCGTAGAAGAGCAAGCATAGCATATCATGGCAGTTGAATAAACGTAGTGCTCGTGCATTCCCATCACTGATTGCTGAGAAGTTGTCCTTGATCCATAGTCGCCTGATTTAGGACGTCAGGCGCTGACGACGGAGATAGCGCGGTACAGTAATAAGTAGATACTTTACAAGGTTAGTGCCAACCGATCTTTTGCAAAGCATCCCGTCTTATCCGGTTCCGTGAAGTTCGTTACTGACTGCCAGGACGCTGACACCCAGGGACTGATCAGCAGGATGATACTTAAAAGCACGATGCAGGTACGATTCACGCGTGCATGCATGGCATGTTGAGTCCGACGGACTGTTGAGGACCATCTCAGTCGCTACACTTATCCTGCCTTTGCCACGGCGAAGCGCGCTCCTAGGCAAAAAACTACAGTATCAAAACATGATAACCAATATCGCTATCGCGCTGCTCATCGTCCCTGTGGCACCTGCTTCGCGCAAGCTGGATGTACCTCCCGTCCTGCACGTCGCACCGCTACCTCTATGCTCCGTCACAGGCTGCAACGCGGCAGCCTGCTCGTGCATGCCCAAGCGCGCCATCTGCCATTTCGTCGCTTTACGTAACCGGCGCTCTACACACATCGGCGCTCCATGCTGCTTGCGGCATGGGCTGGCCTCCAGCCTCCACATCTACAACCCTGCAGTCCAACAGCACATCTCCTGGCGCGTCAACCTCCCCAACCAGCTGTACGCAACGGAAGTCGGTGAAGCCTTCCTGGATCTGCTCCGCAGCCGCGGCACCAGCGCCCGCGGTTGCATTGCAGGAGCGGGGCTCAATCGACACCAGTCTGGGCCGCTACCGCAGTCACAGCAAGGACGGGGCGTTGGTGAGTTAGCTTTTCAACCGCAGCAGCATATCGATAACGTGTGGGCTTGGCCACATCAGTTGTAGCAGCGGCAGTAGCATGACCAGGGGCGGCAGCAGTACGGCAAGAGAATCGCAGCCTCATCAGCAGCACTCACTGTCGCACTGGGGCTGGCGGTGGCGCGGCGGTTAGTGCCTGGGGGGCGGAGGCCCTTCGCATGCGTGGATTTCATGTGGGTCGTGTACGACGTGTTTCATTCGTACTTTGGGGTTTTGTATTCAAGAATCCATACCCGCAAGCACCTCTCCCTTCCCTTTCCCACCCCCCTCCCCTCCCCTCTCCCTCCAAATGCCCGGACAAAAACAAGGTGGACGCAGTGGTGGATTCCCGTGACCCACGGGTCATTGTGGTCCGCGTCACCGCCTCGTACGACAATGTGCCCCATCTGGCACCCAAGGAGCTTCAGCTACACTGGTAAAGGGGAGGGGGGGCTGGAAAAGGGCGACGCGAGGGTGGCCGGGGGTTAACGGGGTGGCCTGGGGGGGGGGGGGGGGAGGTAGGAGGCCGGCACGAGTGGCGCCATCTTTTTCTTTGGGAACCGACACGCAACCGGTGGCCTCGAGTTCGCATCAAAGACCCTCAACCAGGCAGGATACGCGTACGACAACACACCGCTGTGTGGCCTTGTCGGGTCTCGGGTCTTTTTGACCATATACTTATTTACTTTTGTGTGCGTTCCTGAATTGGATACTGTACGGCACAGGGGTATGTACCGCGCCAGCGGTACAAAATGGCACCATCCCCGGGAGGCGGTGCCTCCGGATTCCTCCCTGGAGCCAGGGGGTAATGGTGCCATGCGTACGGCAATGACGTGGGACGAGCGTACGGGCGTGTGGTCCGTACGTTTTGAGGTACCTGCCAAGTTAGCGCCGCTTCACCTCGCCTTTGCCTTGTATCAGCCAGGTAAGGGCGTTTGTGGGGAAGGGAGTAGTAGAGGGGGAGGGGGCTTAAGAAGGGGGGAAAGGAGGAGGGGGTTTGAGGGGAAAACCCCAAACCCCCTAAACCCTGTGGGAGAAAGCACCGAAACCCTTATGCCTCCCACCGGAACGGTTTCCTCCCGTCCCGTGCACCGTCGTACAGCTTTGGACAAGTACGACAACCCGCTGCGCGCCCCGCACTTTTGCGTGCCGGTGGGTATGAGCGCCGGGCGGCCGGAGCCGCTGGGTGCCTCTGTGGTGGCGTCCATGTCCCCCGGGGTGGAGGGTGGCGACCCACGGGACGTCGCCTGTGCTGTCAACTTTGCTGTGTTTTCCCGGCACGCGTCATCCATACAGCTATGTTTGGTGCGAGTCAAGGGGGCGGACGGGCCCGGTGAGCCGCTGGTGGCGCAGAATGTGCTGGAGGTGTGTATGTATGTATGTATGTATGTATGTATGTATGTATGTATGTATGTATGTATGTATGTATGTATGTATGTATGTATGTATGTATGTATGTATGTGTGTGTGTATGTATGTATGTATGTATGTATGTATGTATGTATGTATGTATGTATTCGTTTGACTCGCCGCCCCTTATGTATTTCAGGTGTTGGAGGAAGAACGCGTACGACGCAAATTCTTAGTTATTGTGTGTTCACGTATGCGGGTACCTGGGTAGGTGTCCTAATGCCCCAAGACTGCCCCCGGAGGGTGTATACGGCAGTACGGGTCTAAGTGCATTCTGGCCGTTACAGCCGTTGGCGGGCCCTGTGGGGTCACACAATCACCTGCACGTGCCCTGCCTGTGTATTTGACATTTCCTTCCCCCCTCAACCCTCAACCCTTTCTCACATACATTTCCCCCTCCCCCCGCCCCCCGCCCCACCCCTCGTCTGCGGTTTCCCCCCAATTTTCAGGTCGTGTTGGATTCGCTAACTCACCGCACGGGGGACGTTTGGCACGTGTGTGTGCACGGGCTGCAGGTAAGGGGGCGGAGGGGGGAAGGGGTGGAGGGGACCGCTGATGGGTTGCGCGGCCTCGCCTTCCATCGGCTGGGGTTTAGACGTGTCAGGCGTTGCCAGGAGGACGAAGAACGCACAGAGACACCCCGCGGGGCCAGACACACATGCAGCCAATGTCGTACATGCATCCACGTGCTTTGTTGGTGCCGTACACCGTACAAGTCCTGTGTATCTCGTCCAAGATAGATGCCATGCCGTACATTCAGGATTTGGAGAGCCTGTGCTGGGCCTGGCGCGCTGACGGGGAGATCCTCTGGCAACGTGAGTAAAACCCTAGACCCAGAAAAAAAAAACACGCGTACAGCTTCACCGGCGAGGGGAGTTGGTTTCCCGGGGGGAGAAAAAGAGGGGGAGGGTGGAAAGAGAGGGCCATTGATGGAAAAGGGATGCCGATGTACGACGGGTTGTACGGCAGTGGGTTAGCCGTGCGTGCTTATACACGGGTAGAACATGTGCAATGGAAAAACACATGGTCCTTCTCCTTCCCCCGCCTCCCCCCTCCGCTCACCCTTCGCTCTCCCCATCCCCCGCCCCGCTTCGCCCCGCTTTCCTAACCCGCCCCCGGCCTTTCTCCCCTTCCCTATCTATTATCCCAGGCTCATCTCCCCTCCCCCCCCCGCATTCCCCCGCGTTCCCGCAACTCCAGACGGCAATCGCTTCCACCCGGGGTTCATGCTGATGGATCCGTGGTCCACACGTGTCGTACCCGTACTGCTGCCGGAGGGCTCCCACAAGGCCGCCCCTCGCCTGGCCCCCAACCAGCCCCCCACGGAGCCCGTACTGCTGGGCTCACTGGCGGCGTTCGTACACGGAGCCTTCGACTGGGGGGCCGCCGCCAGCCCGGCGGGGGTTCGCGGGGGTCAGAGCCGAGTGCGGCCGCTGGAGGAGGGGATGGTGGTGGAGGTGGATGTGGCGGCCTTCACAAGCGGTGAGGGGCCGGAGGGAGAGGGGAGGGCAGGGGGCCGATATCAGCGTACATGCACTCATGCACAGCTTAACCTCTGGATAATCGTAGATATTCGTACACATTCGTACACAGGCAAGTCCACACAGCAAGTCCATGTTTCCGCGGCCACCGCACCGGGACTTAACTCTACACACACACACACACACTCACACTCCCCCCCCGCAACCCCCCCCCCCCACACACACACACACTGGCGCTCCGTCATTACCTCCATCCCGTACCCGCATAAGGCCCGGATGCTCAAGGCTCCGTGGCCCCCCAGCACAGGGGCAAGTACCTGGGTATTCTCGGTGAGTGTATGCGCCTATGTATATGTGTGTATGTTTGTATGTATGTGTGTAATTCACCTGAGCCGTAAATTTAGCCGAGATGATTTTACCGAGACAAGTATAGTAGTAGCCCAGTAAGGAAGCAGCTGCACTCCTTGAAGATGTTAATGTATACAGCCAGAGTGAATATTAATAATAAGTAATGATAATTTAGGTAATGATATAAGTCCCAGCCGAAATTTCCCATACAACCAATCAAACAAACAAATAAACAAACAAACGCCCATACATACATACATGCATTCACACAGACCGTCTGGACCAGCTCAAGGCGGTGGGAGCCACCTCCGTGTTGCTGTCGCCGGTGTGTATGGGCGCATCCGTACCCGAGGGCGGCCCCCGGAGACCCCTCGCGTTGTTCGCCCCCGACCCGGCCTTCGCGGTGGGGGGCCCCCTGGCAGCGGCAGCCGAGCTGAAGACCGTGATTGCGGGGCTGCACCGGGCGGGCATTGAGGTGATCCTGGAGGTAGGAAGTGCGAATGTGTTTGGGTTTGTGTTTGGGTTTGTGTTTGGGGTGTGTGTTTGGGGTGTGTGTTTGGGGTGTGTGTTTGGGGTGTGTGTTTGGGGTGTGTGTTTGGGGTGTGTGTTTGGGGTGTGTGTTTGGGGTGTGTGTTTGGGGATGTGTTTTTATTCGTTTTCTGGGGGTGGGAATGGAGGGAAGGAAGGACGCTTGTGTGTATGCGTGTGTGTATGCGTGTGTGTATGCGTGTGTGTGTGTGTGTGTGCGTGTGTGTATTTGTTACATATCGATCCGGGCCTGACACTGGCCAGGGGCACCTAACCGTATATACCCCAACGGGAACGACACCGCCGCAGCACTCTCCATCATTGGAGGGGTGCTATATTACACCGGTCAGAGTCCTATAACCGTTCTCCCTTATCAACAACAACAAGGCGCCGTCACCTGTTCGAATCCTCTAACCAGCTACATACACCAGCTCAGATGCCAAGTAACCACCATTCCACCGAAGGCGCATGCTCTACATCTTCGCGATGATCTACCAATAGCTGCACTCACACCGGTGCCAATCACACCAACCTATCCGTGCGAGTTCTGTTGCCGCCCGGTTTCGTTATCCAACCACCACCTTCTGGGGGTGGGGTGGGGTGGGAGAGGAAGGGACGGGGGAGCGGCGTGTTTGCGCGAGAAAACAAACCCGCAAACATCAAACCTGTGTCAAACCTCGGCCCCCGCTTCGACCCCGCCCATTCACCGTCCCAATCTCCATTTGGGATTCGAATCCGCTCTTCGAATCCGCTCTTTTGTGTGCTATCATCTGAAGACACATTACCGACTTTGGAGGCCCCCCCAAACACATGCATTTAAGACATGTACATACACACATACATACATACACACGCACACGCCATGCATGGGGGCTGTTCTCTCAGGTCGAGTTTTGCGTGACCGCGGAGGGCGGGGACGCCGGGAGCGGCCGGTTGCAGGGCCTGCGAGGCCTCGACCACGCAGTGTACTACAGGTACGTGTACGGCACTTTTGTGTGTGTACGGCGGGCGTGTGAATATCATACACGGTTGTTGGGAAAGCTTCTTGCCCCGGGGACCGAGGGTGCGTCCGGCGTGGGTTGCGTGGGATGCGGGAGGAAATGGGGATGAGGAGGCGCCGTGCCTGGTTCGTCTGCCTTGGCCGCACCTATTAGTGAGGTCCTGCTGCCGTACTGATTAACACACGTCGTGATGCTTCCCCCTCTTACAGCCCCCAACCTGCTCCCCTCCCCCCCCAGCTGCTGGCCACCTTTTCTGGCCAATGTTCTGTCCATCATCTCCCCCGTCCCCGTCCCCGTCCCCGTCCCTGGCCATTCCCCCGATCCCGCACCCGCCGCAACCCCCCTTAAAATTAACACACCACGCCGGCACTCTCCCCAGCAGCATTTGACCTCTCTTACCCCTACTGCGCGCGGCTGCTGAGTTCAACCCCCCCCCCGCACCGATCCAGGGATGGTCTTGAGGCCCCCGTACTGAACTGCGGACACCCGGTAGTGCGGTCACTGGTGGTTTCGGCGCTACGCCACTGGGCCACGGAGTACCGAGTGGAGGGTTTTTGTTTCGTCAATGCAGAGAACCTGGCACAGGTACGGCATCGAAACCCTAGATAGCCCCCCTTACATGCGTCCTCTTACCCCTTTACCAAAAACCCCCACCCCAACCACCCCGCCCCTCACACCTCTCTCCCGCGCTCTCTCACCCACCCGTTACACACACACACAGTTCGCACCGCGGACGTCGAACCCCGTATAAATCCTAACCCCCCTCCCTTCACCCCATCCCCTCATCCTAAAACTGCGCTGAAAAACCCTTCCGTAGGACAAATTTGGCTCCGTTCAGGACAATCCCCCCTTAGCGGAGGAGATTGCGGCCGATCCCATCCTGCGCAACCTCAAGCTCATCGCCGCCGTCTCCAACCCCTCCCTGCTTCCGCGCTCGGCCGGGCGGGGCTTTCCGCACTGGGGCGTATGGATGCAACTGAACGACCGCTTCACAACCGACCTGAGGTCGTACATGGTGGCGGGACAGAGAGGTTTGTTATCCGCCGTCGCAACGCGGCTAACCGGTTCCGCAGATCTCTTCGCTGCGTGTTGGGACGCCGGACTGCCTGGGGGCCTGGCGGCGGGACGGCGGCCGGCCTTCGGAATCAACGCCGCGGCGCAGCTGGGCGGCCATCGGCCCCTGCAGGCCGCCGTCACGGTGGCGGCCGCCGCGTCCGGCGACGGCGGCGGCGGCTTCGCCGCTGACGCGGCGCATTGCGAAGCGATTGCTCGGTCGCTGCTCGTGGCGCAGTTCGTGNCGGCGGGGCAGCCGCTGGTGGCGGCGGCGACGCTGGCGCGGCCCGGTACAGCGCAACTGGTGGCGGCGCTGGCGGCGGTACGGCGAGGCTACCGCGCACTGCTGTGCCCGCCGTCGCTGGCATCGCCGGACCGTGTTCTGACGTGGCATTCGCCGTACGGTGGCGGCGGCGAGCCTGACTGGGCGGGCGCCAACCCAGACGCCGCAGCCAACGTGCTCGTACTTACCATTGGCGGCGGTCCGTCGCGACCGGGGCACTTGCTGACGGTGGCGTTCAACCCCGGCGGAGAGCCCGTCACGCTGGCTTTACCTCGGTCCCCTGGCGGCGCCGTCTGGCGGTTGCTTGTGGACACGGCACGGCCCGTACCGACGGCACAGGCCGCTGGCGCCGCCAGCCTGGGTGCCGTACTGCAGGCTTCGGAGCAAGGGTCGTACACCATGGGTCCCCACAGCGCGCTACTGCTCGACGCTGTGCCGCTGGGGGGGACTACGGCGGCAGTGGTAGCGGCGCCGCCAGCGGTGACGGCAGCGCCGCCGTCGACCGCCGCAGCGGCGCCACCGGCGGCGGCGCAGCAGTCACCACCGCCGCCGCCGCCACAGCAGCCGCCGCCAGGGTACGGTCTGTCACCAGCTGCGGCGGCAGCAGCCGCGGCTGCGAGGTCTCAGCCACGGGTGTACAAGGTGGCGAGCAGTCCCAAGCCAACCGGAAACAGTTGAGGCTTTGGTGGTTGGTGGTTGGCGGTTGGCTTGGCGGTTAGGATAAGAAAGGCAAAATAGGCTAAATGAGGACAGTAGTACGGCAGCATGTACGAGCAAGCGTGATGGGGCGTGTACATCACCTCCTTGAAGGGGGTCTGTGGACATGAGAGGAAACAGACTTCGGGTTTGCTTTTTTTCCTGAAACAACAAAATTGCCGAACCTGTTTGCTTCGACAGCGCTCTCTTCCTCCTGCTACTACTGCTACTGCTGCTACTCCTGCTACTGCTACTGCTGCTACTGCCGCTACTGCCGCTATCGCTATGACTGCTGCTGCTGCTGTCATTTCTCTCAGTTCCGTGTAAGGTGGTGAATCGGGTAAGAGTCCGAAAAGGTATTTCCCTCGCACGAGTGAGATATCCCTGGGATATGGCAACACGGAGACGGACTTGAAATACAGGTCCTGCACCTGGCAATGTTGCTTTTACTTGCAAGTAGTTGCAACGCGAAATTTGCGATGATGGTGGGTCCGACGGGTGGGTCCGTCGGACTTGCGTGGTACGGGTTTTTAAAAGGGGGGATCTTATCCGGAGCGCACCGTGCGGCGAGACCGATACACGCCACTGCATATTGTGTACGAGCACTTTCTTGTACAATTAGTGTTTGTTGGCTTTCCTATTGGTTTAGGGTTTTTGGTGAGGTGGAGTAAAGCGATCAAAATTTCCGTGATGTCCTGTTGTTCGGTTCGTTTTTTTGGTGTACGGGAGGTAGCGACTGTACTGCGCTGTACGGCCTGTTAGGGCAATATGTGAACAGACGGGACGCGGCTTTCACGCAGACAGAGGGGTTGACAGACAGACTGACAGACGGACTCACTGACAGACAGGCTGACAGACGGACTCACTGAGTGGAGTGGGGAATCAAGGGAAGAGGCAAGAGGGGGAATGTGTTTGGGTGACTGAAGGTGTGCGTCGGCAGGGTGGCGATTGCAGCGGCTCTTTGCTGTTGCTACTGCTAACTGTTGCTGCTATTGCTGCTACTACTGTTGCTGCTGCTACTGCTACTGCTAATTACAAACAACACTGCTTGGAGTTGATTGCGTTATATCTGCTTTGCGGCAGTTGTTTGGTCGGTTTGTTGCACGGCGGTTGGGCGGTTGGGCGTGGGATCCCAGCTTTATTTTTGAGGGGTGATGGAGCGCTTTGCCCCGCTCCGTGATATTGACATGGCGGGCAGTGGCCCACGCTGCCGGACGAGACGGCGTTTCGCAGGGGGCAGCTTCCTTCATTCACTCCTGTGCCTCGGGGGAAAGATTGAGATTGCGTGTGTGTGTGTGTGTGTGTGTGTGTGTGTGTGTGTGTGTGTGTGTGTGTGTGTGTGTGTGTGTGTGTGTGTGTGTGTGTGTGTGTGAGAAAGAGAAACTCACTGAGGCCATCGCAAATTCACAATCCTTTAAAGTGAGAGAGGTTTTTTCTCTTGTTTCTTGTTCTTTAAGTCTTCCTGGAGGGGGTTTTCCTAGCTCTGCTGCTTCACGAGGGAGGGTTGTACCACCCGGCCCACTCAGCTTCTTTGCCCGGGCTCTACACCCTGGCCGACGCAATTGGTGGCGGAAGGGGGCGGGGGGGGGGGCCGCCAGCTGCTGTTGGGGCAGCTGTTGGGGTCGCTGCGCTGGGGGGTTGGCCTCGTTTTGCTGTATTTTGCCTTGTAGGGCCGTGTGTGCAGAGAACCAGATAGTTTGCAGAACGATCGCGGGGCTTGCTGGGCGATTCAGCGTAGGGCTGAGTTTGTCAGAAAATCAACATTCAAGGCCAACGGCGCATGGCATGATGATGAGGAGGGAGGAGGAAAGGAGGGCGGAAAGAGGAGATCAAAACAGTGGCCGCTTTCAGGGGGGTTTTGGGTGAGGAAGAAGCATTCCGGGGGAGGAGTCCGTGAGGGGAGGCGAGGCGCAGTGTTGTGGTGGCAATCCGGGGAGATGCATGTGAAAAAACACGCTGCCGCCTCGCACACATGCGAGGAGGAGGGTGCTCGCCCCCGCCAGGGAGGGAATTAGGCGGCCGGCGCTGTATATGCCAGCCGAGGAGAGGCCATTATTAACTCTGTTACATAATATAGCAATAACGCACGTAAGGAGTCTTGGAAAGCTCATTTCAAGTCATTTTAAGCCAAAGCACCTGGCGTTTTGCTATGGGTTTTGCCCACAAAAATATCATCTGATCATCCAAGGACCGAAGCGGCCGCTCGCTCGCGCCAGGTGTGTAGTTAATTAGCCAGGTGAAACAGAGCGGGCACGTTAGGCCGCTTTCATTGCGCCTTCCGTCCTGTCTTCGACACCCCCTTTCCGTCCAATAATCTAAAGGTCAGACACGTCATCCTTCGGTTATATCTCTCTCTCTAAATATATACATATGTACGGCAAATAGCGCTGCAGATCGCAGCCAACAAAGGAAGCGCACACACACATACATATATACATACATACATATGCAAGAGCCAGGTAATCGATAAGTTCAGAGTTACCACTCTGCTATAATGCTACCACTGTACGTTACTTTTTTTTATAATAACCACTCTACCGGGAGGCTTGGTGCAAGGACAGCGGAACAACATCAAGCGTCATCTGCGCCTCTAAGGCAGTGTGCACAACACCTATCTCTTGCCAATCACCTTTCCCGCGAACATGTACCACCAAATGCACGGGGACCTTGTGCCCGGCTACAGGTGCCTGCACTGCACCGTAGCTTCTCCTCCTTCCGGTTCCACGAACACTCGCGCAGACAGCTGTAAACATATTTAGTCAAAGCAAAGGCCATCGAACATTACTATTACCGCCTTTGATGGCGTTCCATAGCTCTCACCATGGCTAGCTAGCCAGACATTTGACGAACGTAGGCATGACCAAACGCACGCAAGATAGAACAGCAATTATTCCGGAACGAGCGAGCTTACCCCCAGTGGCACATGTGCAATGCATTTCAGCGGCTGCTCAGTCGGAGTGTCTCGCCGGGCTGTAAATGTAAGCTATTTCTTCGCGAACAAGTTTATGGCATAAGTCGACATCAGGATGGACCAACCCCTCATTCGGTACACCCAAATATGGTGAAATGTGCCTACCTAACGGCGCACCGAACGCCGCAAAAATACTGATCAGTTTTAATGCGCTAACCGCTGCTTTAACCGTACAACAACTACATTTATGCAGTTTGAACGCGCTCCTCTCCACGGAAACTCCTCAACTTATCAACTATTATAACATAAACCAACTAACGGATGAACTTGCCACTCGGGATGCACATGCGCTTGCAGCGGACGGGCCCAGACGCCCGAGGACGATGAATCCGCGCTTTATGCATGAACTAGCAAGCAGTGCCATAACAACGTAGAAGCCGGAGTGGAACTATACTTAAACGTTACGAGAACTGCTATGAAACATCCTAAGTGTTGATTATTGTTTTACGAATACTAAGTTGACACGGGCTTGTAAAACAAAAGACGCCGCTAAACCTGTTGACGCCTTGTCAGTTGCAACGGTATATTCCCAAACCGGTATCAACAGTAATCACTATGTACCTTTATGTACCTAGCCGCGATGACGAACGACTATAGATGGCGCCAGGTGCCATCGCTGATCAACACGGGCATCCCCCAAACCACCTTAGGTTGACAAAGCTGAACGGAGGCGGCGGACAAACTGCGATAAGCCAGCAGCATTTTGACCATTGCCCTTGCCATTCCCATTCCCGTTGCCGTTGCCATTCCCGTTGCCGTTACCGTTGCCGTTGCCATTTCCGTTGCCATTCCCATTGCCGTTGCCATTCCCATTACCGTTGCCGTTGCCGTTACCATTGCCATTACCGTTGCCATTACCGTTGCCGTTACCATTCCCGTTGCCGTTGCCATTGCCGTTGCCATAGACGCCAGGGCCCTCCAGCAGAAAGCGCAACGTGTCCGCGAGGGCATGGCCTGCGGAGATCGTGGCTGCCTGCTCCACCACTCGCTCCACTGCCTCTTCCACCATTCGGTCGCCCTGGTTCACCGGCTCCCAGGCCGCATCCTCCTCAGTCGGCGTCTTGTAGGCGCCTGCACCGGCAGGGGGTTCGGGTCACGTGGTTGGCTGGAGAGGGGGTCGTACCGCGGCCACGCGGACGTACGGCGATAAGAAAAGCCAAGGGGTGCAGCTCTCGATGCAGCTTGTCACTTTTCCAAAGTTGCAAGTTGGGGGTTCGTTGGTTCGGGCGCAAGCCGCAGGTGACATGTCAGGCCTATGCCGTCCTGGCGGTGTATACTTGTGCCGCTACTTATTAACCTTGCTAAACCCTTCGTGGGCAGCTGCATGCAACACTTAAAAATCGGCGACTCTGCGACACAACTAGTTCCTTGCCGTCCAATCCTCTAGACAAGAATTTAAATGTACGCATGGCCCCGAAACCATCCACCTTGTAACACTCCGAACAAGGCCCTTCTGGCTTCCCGGGCTGCTTCCTCAGTTCTTGAGTCACATCTCACTTCACCTCGCCCGCATTTGCCGGTCTCGCGTTTGCAAGACCATTCGCACACCCGCACCCACACACCCGCCGCTTTCCCCCCTTTTCAGCCCATCTCATCCCCACTCCCGCACACAAGCCCGTACTTCCAGACTCCTGCAGCCCTCACCTCCCCAGGCGCCCCGTCGGGACCCGAGCCTCACCTGATTCGAAGTCGGTGATGAGCTTCTTCAGCAGCGCGCCCCATTGCGGCTGGGGCCCGTCCTTCCAGCTGTAACCGAGCCACACCACGGCGCCAGGGCTGCCGACCTTGCCGAACGCCTGCGTGCAGAAGATGGTGTACGGCGACGGTGGCGGTTTAAGCAAATGCACAATAGAGACTGAGGGCACGGGTCAAAGGAGGAGTTCACCAGAACCTGGAATCCTGAAACTCTAGAACCCTAAGTCCTCATACAGATGCCTGTTTGGATGCGTTGTTGCGTTTTTCCTCCTTCGCCCCTTTGTGCCCCGTTTGGTGTCCCTTGGTGCTCGGGTGTGAGGGATGGGGAAAGATCGGGGCACATCATGTCATGTTGCACGTGTATTGCTATGATTCGTACGCAATCCGCTGTACGGAAGACCGGTCGTGTGTCTTTCCACCAGGGGCCGGGGGCTACACCACACCTGGTGCGAATGCCGCGCGATAATATTCTTAACATGCTGTCGATTCGTAAGCGCATCACTGTACTAGGTTTCATTTAAGGGTCACGACCTTTCCGCTGATTGTGAATATCATAACGGCATCGCAGCTGTAGCGGTTCGATAATGCAGAGGTATAGAGCGTCGGAAGGTTGTGCATCTTGGCTACCAACATCCATGACCTGGCATCCAAATTCAAAATATACTTTTCATTTAAATTACTTGAATTATTTAAACATTCATTTAAACATTCATTTACTACTAATGGAATGATGATCGAAGTATTTTGCATAGCGAACGCGAGGCAACATCTTACTTGGGCAGCCACCTGCATTTCCTCCCCTTTGACCGTGTACAAGGGCCGAGTAATCATGGCATAGTCCTCGTGCACGCAAGGCGTCAGCGTGTCGACGGCGCGTGAGTCCTCCAGACGGGAAGGCCACCGGGCCGCAGCAACGGCAGCGACGGCGGCACTGGCAGCACCCTCAATCGCCGCCGCCGCCGCGTTGGGGCCAGCGTCGGGTAGGAACGATGGGGCCCAGTCGGTGAGCGCGAGGCTGTCCCCCAGGCGGCTCAACACGAAACGCTTGGTAGACGATTTGGGTTTGACAGCCCGTTTGCAAAGGTACCAGTCGCCTGCGGATAGATTGGCGACGTGGGGCCACGTAAATAATTAGACGACACCAAATGTTTGTAGAGGAGACGAGATATTGTTGATTGTGCAGTTATATATTTGGGTTGCGGTGCGCGGCGGAAGGTCGATGCAGAATTTTGTTTTTAAGGGCTCTTGGCAGCCGTCCTGAAGGTCCCTGAAGGTTCTGTCCAACTCGCCGAGATGCGAGGTGTCCCACAACTTTAATAATCTTAGTTTATTGCGTTGCAGCTAGAAACATGTTTGGGGACATAGGAGAAAGGAGGTATGTTGCGTTTTGCGCAGATTCGGGACATTGTTGCGCTGCCCGGGAACAATGCTTTTCTTTTCCTAAATGGGTCGGTCCCAGATACTATGCTATCAGTAATAAGTATTTACCTTGAAGACTAAGAGCCTGAGATACAAAATCGCGGAGCGCGGCCCCGTCGCCGCTCGCGGCATCAAGCAGGATGACGAGCCCACCGGCGGCAACGTAAGATGCGACCTCACGCATATCCTCAGCGGAGACATAAAACGTGTTACCGTTCTGGTATGGGATCACATACGCGTCTGGGGCGTCGTTGCCGGTCAGGTTGGGCTGTCCATCATCGGCGGCCTTGACAACAAAGCCAAGGCCGCGAAGTTGAAGCTCAAGGCTGTGCGGACTCGCGTCCCATGTAAGGTCTAGAACCCCATTTGCTGAGCTCATGTAAATTGCGACATTGGGTATGCCAGCGATGGCTGCGTGCGCTGTTTGGCAGGACAGCGCAATTAGGAAACCCAGAGTGCAGGCCAGCTGGATTTGGCAAAGGGCACGCTTGGAATCCATGATTTGATATGATATATGATTACTTGGATCTGAGCACATGCGGCAGTGGGTCTTTTAAATAGAATCGGACGCCCCTTTTGCCGGAAGGATTCGGTTGATTCAGTTCGAGGCTGTTGCGCTCGAGTGAAGGTGACTGACTTTCCGTCGAGGTAATTGCAGCCTAGGTTCAATGGAGTACAATAGTTCTGCCTAAAATTATAAAAGCACCTGATGATAGAAATAACGAAATGAGTTCATAAGGAAAATGGGTTTCCTGGTTCGGCCGTAACTTGGCAGGCACACGAGTCTTAGTGCGTCCACCAGATCAGGCATATGCCTGATTATTATGAGTATTTCAATGTACATTTTTTTGTGGCGCGCCTACAGGCCTCTTGCGAATGATGGATGGGGGCATCTTTAACGGATGACCCAAAGTTAAGTTCCTGTCAGCATTTGCTGGGATCTTTACGAAGAGTGATACAAAATATACATGTTCTCATACTGAAGCTGTTTCATGGCCCAGTCACCGGCGCAGAGGCGATTTGGCAGTGCTACAGCGTCGCGGGACAACATCGCTTGGACCGCTGCAGGTATATGTCTACTGGCTCGTGTCAGATAAAGTGCTTTTAAGGGAATTTTACACGGTGTTGCAAAGGTTATCCATCCAGACTTTGCAATTATTGGTGTCTCCAGTAGTACATCGGCTTGCGCGGATACCATGATGATGCCCAAGAGCTTTGTGTCGTAAAAGTTATAAATATACAGTTGGTTTGTATCATTTTATGGGATGTTGTGTGTGTCCAGGGGTCAGTTGGCAGATTTACAGGACACAAGAGTGCGGCATCTTGTAAACCTAAAACTAAGCAACACCTCCCTAACGTTCCTCTTAATGCGGTCAGCTGATAAGACCTGTCAGCAAATAATAAATCATAACCCTAACGCTAACTCTAACCCGCGATAGCGCAGCGGAGCGCATCACCTCGCAGTGAATGTGATCAAGCAGACCTTGCAAAACAAAACGACCGCATTCCAGTCTTGGCTGGAAGCTCTCGAGCAATACTGAACATTCCAATGTAACCCAATGAGGTTTGAGTGATCGGGATCTGGGCCACTTAGCATCGACCAACGCCAGCCAACCCCCTGGCGTACTGACCTCCAAACATGTGTCAGCTACTCTACGGGGCAATATGGCAGCATCCCCAATATCACCACCACCACCACTGGCAGTAGCAGCTGGGGCAGCAGCGGCAGCAGCAGAACCGACAGCAGCACCATTCCCAGTAACAATTTCGGCGGGAATATCTGAGTGATGGGCCGAATGATGATATACTTGGGGCATTGATTCATAAAAGAGTGGCATGGTCGTAGCAGGACCTCGCATCTGCGACAGGTGTTGTAAATGGGATTACACAGATAGCTCGCTCTTACTTACACATACACAACCGTGTGTGGTTTTTGGCATGAAACGCATGTATACGGCCCATTGCCATGTGAGACCCCCTATCCACCGCTGCGCAGCATTTTGTTTGGACTCTCGATTGTGCCATTTCGGCCACTTGGGGCCACTTTGTTGCCCCCTGCACGTGCGCACACACACCAGCACACCCGGGATGCAACTGTACAAGACAACAGTGTACACACACATACATACATACATAGATTCACAGCCACACACACACACAAGAAGCTATGAACACATAGAAACAACAACGCGTACAGCACGCCTCTTTTCACCTAACGTAGTATATACATACATGTCTACATACATACATCCCGGGATCGAGACCTGTCAGGGTCGAACATCCTTCCGATGGTGGAAGGTAGATTGTCCCTAGTCGATGGACGGTGGTGACCTGGGATAAAGTTGACTTGCGAGCTGACCAGGAATGGAGTAGAGCCGCCGTCGATCCGGCGGATTCTGTTGGATGCTGGTGGTGGGTGCGGAACCTAGGCGGTCCACTGAGAAGTTGACTAGGGTGACTGGATGAGGGTGCCCCGAAATACCGGGGAAGGCAGGGTTTCGCAGGGTAGCTGCCACGGGCGAAGATATGGCCCCCTGTTTCACACATCATACACACGAACCAGCAGAACAAAAGGTTTTTCCTCCATCCCTTAGAACCGACCCTTCGGTCCCGCGTAAATCCACTGAGCTCGCCTCGGCCTCCCACTCCCATGAAACCGACGCGGACGAGCACGCACGTTTCATATACTGTAATCCAGCTCAACTCCGTGTGGGTTTATCAGTACGGCACTGTCGAGTGTACGATTGGCCTGTATCCCCAATGACCCGGTAGGCGAAACCCTAAAACCCACACATACTTGGTTTACTACATACATAGTACATACAAGCCCCAAGTGAGCCCTCTCGCACGGGATTCACGACAAGTACACTGTAAGAGTTGTACCCCCGCCTCCTGTTTGGTGATTTTACTACCTGTTTACATCCCCCCGCCCCCCACCCCCCCACACCCCACATCCCTCTTTCCCCCCTTCTCCCACCCCCACCCCCAAACCCCCCCACCCCGGATGGACCACTGTCACCGTCACCGCCGCCAGGATCACTCTGCTGCTAATCGCTCATCATACCTAGCGCCTCTGCTCCTCGACACAAATCCAAGTGAGCAGCAGAAAGGTATATAAGATATGTTGATGGAGGTCGTTCCCAGGAAAAACGCGAATGCGATTGACGCGTGTACGGTCCGTACATCGAACGTACGGCTCACCACGTCCTCCACCTCGACGTCGTCGACCAAAGCCGGCCAATCCTAAGTGATGGCAGTGATAGGCAACTCCGGCGCGCAATCTAGATAATTATCCAGTCGCTGGTCACCACGCCGGCGTGCACACGCAGGTACACTCACCGTGTGTCCGCCTCCCAATCCTCACCGCGCCTACATATGGCGCGTCTTTAGGCAGTGCGGCTCGGCTCTGGTGCAAATCAAAAACGGACTTCACGCTGCGCATATAAATATCTGTATGTATGTATTATGATGTATGTATACATAAAAAAACCTATGAATTAATGAAGGTCCTTACACACGGGAGGCCCCACCCACCGACCCACCTAACCACCTAACCACCTGAGCAGTGCGGCCACTCGCACACCAGCAACAAGCCGTAGTGGCGACCAAGGCGGCGCCCGCAGCAGAAAAGGTAGCAGAGCACCAGCCCCACCCAGTGCCAGCGCCCCGGACAGGGGCCCCGAGAAAACCCCTAGGCCACTTCCTTGCTCGGATAGTTCACAATTGTTAAACAAACTTCTTAGAAATAAAGGAACACACCTATCATCTAATCACTTCTGAGAGGAGACCGGCAGAAGGGCCCACAAAGTGAGGTTGGGGGCCGGATAGAGGCCGCAAAGGGAGCGGCCCTTACGTCGGCACCTGTAGTAGCTGGTATGTAGTACGGCACACATCTACGTCTACAGATACGCGCTAAGCGCGTCCACCTTTTCAGCGGCGGCCAGCTAGCTACAACAGCACCCGTGTCACCTAGCACCTGGCACCAAGACGCCCAACCCGCAGATAGACTACCCAAGCCTCCGTGCACTGCGCGGCGGCACATGAATTTAACGTGAAGCTCACCAATCCGTGCCGTACATGTATCTCCATCCAGCTACAGTTTGAAATGACCAGCACGTCGACCAGCGAAGCCAACGATGTTAATCGCCCGAGTTCTTTTCACACATGGCTCAGTATTTAAATGTAGTGTTTTTTATATAATAAATAATATAAGAGGCCATCGAGGCCTTGAGTGGATACATGGCCTAAATAGGCTATGTCTTTGACGTCGCCCCTAATCGACCATCAGGGCGCTCCTCGTCTCGCTGGGGCCCCCGAGCCCTCCGTGCACTTGCACCCACCATCGACTGTCACTACCTCGGTGGTCTTCATGATCGGCTGGACAAGATCATCACAGAGCACCCAGAGCACTTTTCCACAAGTATAATTCCGAGAATCTGCAGGAAGCCTACCTCTCCCTACCTGCCTTCCTCCCCCTACCTCCCTACCTACCTGCCTACAAAGCCTCCTAATTCGCGCCTCCCCTCGCAACCGTAGGAACACGGAATCCCCCTTTCCCTCCCGCTCTCTCCCCCTCCCACAACCTACAAAGCACAAGCGCGCGCGCACTTCCAATCTTCTTCCTGAGTTGCTCGTAATTGCGCTTTGCCTGCCGTACTGGCTGGAGACACTTCTCACTTCTCGTAAATCCCTAAAACACATATTTGCATACATGCATACATATTAATATAGATATACAAATATACGTATATGAATACACAGCTAGTAGGTTTATGTGCCCAGGAAAAGTTGATTTGCTCAAACCCCCCCAGCTCCGTTAGAACGCAACCTATCACCGCCAGTCTTTCCCATTTGGTGCCCCCTTCATTAGCGCCAAGTAACTTCAGGATTTTCCCTCTTCACCCCCGCAGCCAGATGGCTTCATCTAGGGCTGCAACTAAACGTACTGCCCAGACAGCTGGTCTCCCAAAGCCTGGGACTTCGAGAGCTCCGACCCAAGGCCTTGGGCGTAAGGCCCGTTGCAAACATACAAAGCAAGGCCCCAGCCGGCGACGAGGATGGATGGTCACCCAGGGCCTCGCTGTAGCACATACTTTGCCCAGCGCCGCCGTCGCCGCCGTCGCCGCTGTCGCCGTCGCCGATGCTGTCAACGGTAGGCCGAGTTGGAGTGGCTTTGGCGGCGGCGGCGCCGCCGCCGCCGCCGCCGCCACGGCGAGGCATCGCCGTGCTGCTGCGCGCCGATGTGCCGGTAGGAGTGGGAACCCGCTGACCGTTCCCGCTATCATCATCGACGTTGACGCCGCCGCCGCCAGCATCGTCGTACGAGAACCAAGGAAGTACCTCCCTGTATTCCGCTGGCGTGCTTTCTGGCGACAGAGGGAAGTGTTCCTCCCGCCTCCGGGGTAACAACGGGCTCCGGATCTCGCACCGCTGCTGGCCGCTGCTGCCATCGCCGCTACGATGGCGGCGAGTAGCCGTGGCGGCGGCCGTGGCCGTGGCAGCAGCTGTAGCAGCAGCCGCAGCCGCAGTCCCGCTCACGGAATGTTTAGTGGCTGCGGCTGCTTGTGTGCTGGTAGTTGCAGGAAGGGTTGTTGCGGTTGCGGCGCTGGTTATGGACCCCGGTGGCTCGAAAAAGTGTGACGGACTGAGGACATGCCGCCCAGCACCCGAGGGGGAGCTGACGAGAACAACCTCGCTCCCGTCTCGCCAATTCATCTCGTCGGCTTTGCGGTCTTGACCAGAGCCGTAACCACTGCTTTTCATGCCGTACTTTTCCTCAACGTCGACCTCGTGGCCGTCGGCCTGTTTATCAGCAGCCGCACCGGTATGACTGCCGTACTTGAGTTGGGATCCGGCCCACAGAGGTGGCGGCCGCCGCCGCGGCCATGGCGGCAGCGTCGTGTCGTGCAGGTCGTGCGCGAAGGCCAGCTCACACGGAGTGAAGACGTCCTGTACGATGTACGGTGTACGATGTACGGTGTACGGTGTACGATGTACGGTGCATGTGGGATAAAGGAATGTCACACCTTCTCCACACACATTTTGTTACTGTTTGAAAATCGATATGGCGTTGGGAAAAAGCACCTGGTGTCACTATGGCCGCCCGCGTGTGCTATAAACGAATTCCTGGGTGTACTTTAGATTAATCTTTTTTGAGTTTCACATTTGAACGACACTATGAGTCCGGGGTCCGTACACACCGATAAGCCCCAACAGTCCCTCCTTGACCGGGGAGGAAAAGGAAATCTGCCACCCGCATGAGGATGCACCACCAGCACTACCACGGCACGACCCGTGTAGGATATCGAACCCCGGTGATGGCAGTGGTGACGCGCCTGACTTTCTACCAGACGGCATATCCGAATAGCGCGTACGCAAAACCTGAACTCGGTAAGATTATAATGAGATGATAACTACACAACTGATAACCCACAACTGAAAACTGAAAACCGGCAACAGTATCAGCTCCAAGGTATCGAAAGGGCCCTCGCCAAGGTGAGGAACATTCCACTCACCTCTAACAACGAACGACCTTCTGGGCATATGACGCCAAACGGCGATTCAGTCAGGGCTTGCCGCCGCGCAGCTGACGGTGACGGCGACGGCCGCGGTGACGGCGGCGGTGAACGCGACGGCGACTGTGGCGCCGTCTGTGGCGGCGGCGGCTGACGACGTGACGGCGACTGCCGCTCGTTGCCTCGATCCTGCGTACCTGGATCCTCCGGGATGTGTATGCGGAGGGGTAGCCGCTTTGGCGGCAGCCATGCGTGACGGGGGCTACCCATGCCGCCGCCGGCTCCGCCGCCGCCGCGGACGCTGACGCGGCTGCTTACGGCGGCTGCCGCCGCATCCCTAGGGCTAGCCGACTGCCCCCCTGCGGCCCCGCTAAGGACGCCTTCCGTCTGTTTGGATCCACGCGCCCCTGATGGGGATGGCAGCCTTGGCTCCCGACCCAGTGGCGTTGTAGCCATGGACCCCCATGGCAGCGACGGCGCCGCCGCTGGTGCTGCCGCCGCCGCCGCCGCTGCCGCCACCGTCGACGAAGCCGGCGGTTGGTTACAACAGGAGTCGGTGGACACGCGGCCGTCAGGTACGCCGGTGTTGAGGGAAAGCCACTTCAGCGGCGCCCACGGCCACTTAGAGCTGGAGCCAGCAACGCCAGCGGCTCCCGTCCCGGGGCTCGAACCCTGGTCCCTAACAGTCGTCACCACTGCCGCCTCCGCGGCTGCGATATCCGCCAGCTTGTTGGCCTCCGCCACTACTTGTAAGGGAGGGTGGTACGTTTGGCTGTCCATGTGGCATGGAGATCCGTTAGCAGCCTTTCGTAAGGGCGCGGGCGACGACGACGACGGCGGCTGCATGGGCACCGTCGCGGCCGCGAACGGCGGATGCCGCAAATCGCTGGGCTCAACCTCCCTGGGGTCGTTGGGAATGAAGAGGCTGAGTGCCAGGCGCTTTGGTGGTGCCCAGCGGGACGTGAGGCTGCGGCTGGTGTCGCCGCCGTCAGGCTCCCCTCCGCCAACGTGAACCTTCTCGCTCTTCTTTCCGTACTGAAGGACAGAGCCCTGGCGGGGCATGGTGCCGTCCATCGGCCAGTCCTGCATAGCAGCTGCTGCAGCGAGCTGCCGTGGCGGCTGTAATCGGTGTGACAGCTGCGGCTGTTGCTCGGGTCCTTGCATGACTAGATGTTGCTGCTGGGGTTGCTGTTCCGGTCGCAATTCAGCTGTTCGCATTTGCAGCACATGCTGCTGTGGCGGCTGAATCTCCTGCTGCTGCTGCTGCTGCGGCGGCGGCGGCGGCGGCGGCGGGAAGCTTCTGCGCAGCGGCAGTTCCGGATGCGCGAGTCCAATTGCAGCCCCGCCGCTGCAGCCCCCGTAGCTGCTGCAGCTGCTCACGGTGGCAGGACCGGGGGTTATGGGAAGCGTCGCGTCTGCCGCAAGCAGCCGCGGCAGCAGCCCTTGGTTCCGGGCCGCATCAGCACGACTACCCGGCGCTGTCGGCAGCGGCGATGCTGACGATGGCGTGTACGGCCACCCAGGTCGTACACTACGCGGCGTTGCCTCACTGTGCGATACACCGCCGCTGCCGCCGCCGCCGCCGCTGCAGACCTCCCAGACGCCCAACCTGCCGGTGACGGCGCTGGCGCCGCTGGTGCCGCGCAGGCCACCGCCGCCGCCGCCACCACCGTTCGCAGTGATGACGTCCCTCCCGCTGCCACCGGGTGGCGGCGAAAACACAGGACTAGGCCACGGCGCACCGTTCCCCGTTGTTGGCTGCAGCTGCAACTGCTGCTGCGCACATCCAGGCGGGGGCAGCATTCTTGATGGCGGCAGACTGAACTGATTCGGAGCGTGTGCCCTAGGGTTCGGGTTGGCGTGTGTGTGTTGATGCGGATGCGGTTGAGGAAAAGAGTGCGAATAGGTGGGAGATGAGCAGGGGAGCGGGTGCTGCGGTGGCGGCGGCGGCAGCTGTGGCTGTGATTGTTGCTGGTAGTGGTGTTGCAGCTGCGGCTGGCGCCACGACGGTGTCTGTGCAAGGCTCGGTGCCAGTCGGCCCTGAGCACCTAAATCGACAGCAAAGCTCGCGCTTTGCAGCAACTGTGGTTGTGACAGCGTTCTTGGCGCGACTTGGGGCGTGGGGTGCCTCTGCAGTTGTTGGGGACCGTCGAGGCCGCAGCTCGGGGTGGGACTTCGGTGAACTCCCACCTCTGCACAAGACACGTGTCGCGTAGGCGTGTGCAACAGGGCAGGCCACCGCGAGTGCACCTGCGCACATGTCGTCGTCGCCGCCGCCGCCGCCGCCGCCGACACCTGTGAACTCGGCATGTGCAAATATGTTTCGCTAACACTCCTAGGCCGGGCCAGATGGGCGGCGGTGGCGCCGCCGCCGCTGGCGGCGTTAAAGCAGTGTGAGAATGAAGCGCCAGTGGTGGTTGCGCCAGCAGCGGCGGAATGCCGTCGTTGGGGTGTTTGTGGGCTCCCGGGGAAGGCAGCTGCAAAGGCGGCCGCGACGACGCTGCTACTGGCCACCACGGCGGCCCTGCGTGCGGCTCTGTCGCCGCAGTCTAAGTCGTGGAGGTCGTCTCTCGCTGCTGGGGCACCTGGAGCCGCGTCTTCGCCGGTGTTTTCTGGGCGGCAGCGCTTCCGGGAGCCGCCGCACGTAGACGGGTCGGGCTTTAAGGAAGATTGCGCCCGGAAGCGCTTGGAGATTGCGGCGAATCTTCGCAGGTTGTGAACGCGGGAGGCAATAGGCAGTGGTTTGGGGGTTGGACGCGGTGGGGATTGGGGGTTGGTGGGGATGAGGGAGGCGGTGAAATTACACAGCGATGAGTTGCCAAACAGGCGGGCGGGGAGCCATGGGAGGAGGTGTTGTGTGCGGCAGCTTGTGTTCACAAGCGAGCTGTTCGGCGGGTGGTGATGGTGGTCGTTGGACAAGTTGCCGAACGGTTCGCGACGGCAGCCACTCTTCGGATGGTAGATGATACATCGCTAGGCACGCGGCACGTCATTATTGACTTTCATACTTTTATACTGGACAGGATGAGGAGGTTAGATTCCTTTGATCACCTGTTTTTTACCGCATTATCCGTCCTGCCGCCCACCATTTTGGCAATTTCGGTCCACTTGTTGCCATGCATTTTGTGGCCCTCCATCAGGATATTATCCTCCTGGAAGCGAAAATAAAGATTAGTTAGTCTTTGATTATTAAAAACAGGCGCCGTTTCGAGCGACGTTTTCCATGGCAGGTTGGTCCTGCCTCGGATCCATACTGGCAATCGACGCGCACCTGGGGAGTCCAGCCTCCAGTTTTCAAATCTGCATTTAAAAAGTTTGTCCAGCGGCGCCGACACTGCATCGCGCGACAAATGCCTCCTTACGGTATCGTCAAACGGGCAGAAGGCCGCGGGGTGTGAAGCACGAACCTGCTTGCCGCTTTTCGTCTTAATTTGCGCAGCTATTAGACCCCAATTCTTAGGCCCTTTTTCTTCCACGAGCTGCCGCAGGAGCGCGTCCTCGCTTTCTGTCCATGCCGTTTTCAATGCCATGTTGATGTATGAATGAATAAACAATATAGATATGTAATCTAGGTTATGCTTATCAAAAAATCTTGACAAGAAGCAGTGGGAACATGGAAGATTCCTGTCCAGCCGCGTAGCTGCTCAGCTACCCCAACACTACCCGCAGCCTACATAGCAATGTTCCCACCTACAAACGTGTAAGGTCTCACTTTTAGATAATTTCTGACAATGTGCCTGCTTAATGATGGCGAGCGCTGCGAGCTCATGTCGTAATTGGTAAGTGCACAGCAGCTTCAAATAAAACCGTGAACATGTCGATCTGAACCTTGCAGCCACAGCTTATGACTTCTTTTTTTCCGTTATATGCAGACTATTCCAGGCATGGGCTCTATTTTCATGGCTAAGGAGAGCCTTGCCAGCATCGTCTACCTTCCCAATCAGCCTCCCCAGTATAATAGAACCGTTCCACAGCCGCTCTTGAATTACACCAAGGCAAAAGTATTTTTAATGGACTAATGTATCTAACACTCCTTCATGCGAGAGGTAGCTTGCCTGTTACTGCTATACCCCTACACAACTCGTTGCTGCGTCTGGTTGCCAACACTGCGTCTCGCATACAGGACGGCATAGAACCAGCTTCCAAAGCCAGCACAGCCCCATCCAATGCCAGACCGGCGAATTCTCCCACCCACCCCCAAAACAAAAAAACAGCGGAAAACAATAATTACATATTTTCGGGTTAGCCCGCAATCCAGCGTTGTTGTGTCTATCGCCGGTGCCATCACACCGACCGATGCCAGGAAGAAGACGCCAATAAGGAGGCTGTAGCACAGCCATTACGCAGCTGCCACCATCACCATCACCTATAATGCATCCCTCGACAATCACAATCGCATATGAGAACATGCACAAGCGTTGCACACGGCAGGAAGAGCAGCCCCTCAGGAAGTCGCCGAAATGCTGGTGACCCCCTCGGCCCTCATGCTACACACACCACCACAACCACCTCTACTACACCACCATCCAAAAGCCCAGGAAAGACCAGACAGTCGCCAAAACCAGTATCACCACGCGACACCTCCCTCCCCCCCCCCGCCGACCCACACGCCCCCGGAAAGTCCGAAGGGAAGGGGGCAGGTCCAGGTGCAGGTGCAGCCGAGGCGAGGCGAGGCGAGGAGGCGCCTGCGCCCCCCGACCCAGGTGTCGAAGGGGTGCGACATGGGACTCACAACACGCCACAACAAGCAGCCACTAAACCCGTCCCTCTAAAAACCACCCAACGTATACATACATACATACATACATACATACATACATGCATACATACATACATACATACATACATACATACATACATACATACATACATACATACATACATACATACATACATACATACATACATACATGTGTATACAAGTGCATACCCATGCAACTGTATCACCTCATCCCCACGAAAAGATCACGCCGCAGGTCCGCTCAGCTCTAGCTCATCCCGCGTGTGGACTCACCACCACCATCATCATCATCATCATCATCATCATCATCATCATCATCATCATCGTCATCATCATCATCATCATCATCACCCTCATCATCATCACCCTCATCACGATGGGCTCAAGTGACGTCATGATGCGATTACTGATTCACCCCGGCGCTGCCATGTCGCCATGCTCTGCAACCCCAAACCCCACCCTTCTATACACCTAATAAACGTTATTATTAGTAGTAATATTGGTAATATTATTAATGTTGTTGTTGTTGTTGTTAACCGCCCACTGCCCCATTTGCTGCTGTATCTGGCTCGCCCCGCCGGGCCCACATCCCCCTGCTGCAGGCCCCCCGGCGGCCGCTGCTCCCCCCCCCTCCTTGGCGCCCCCCTTGGCCCCCCGCAGCTCCCGGCCGCTGTCCGGAGGTCCCGTCCTCTTGTAAATCCGCAGCTGGTTGCGGTCCCGCTCGTTGTAGCAGCCCAACATGCTACATGGAGGTTGGGGTACAGGGGGGGAAATGGGGATGGAGGGTATGGGGGTGTGTGAAGGAAAGAGGGGCATGCAGGGGTATCGGTGTGTATGGGTGAGAGAGGGAAAGAGGGGTTTGCTAGCCGTTGTCCGAAACTTGCGGTGAATGTGTATTGTTTAAGATGAGCTTGTGCGTGTGTGCTGGTGTGCACTGTGTATGTACTGTTGTGCGCTGGTAATGTACTGGTATGTACAGTTTGCGCACTGCTATGTACTAGTGTGGCCCCTTATTTTCAGTGTCTGACTTCCATCCCACCCTATTGCCGCATGCACCCAGCCCCTACCACCCACCCCCACTACGCGCCTGGGTAGCGATGTGGGCCGGTCAAACCTCAGGACGGGGCCTCCATCCCAGATAAGGTCGAACCCGCCCATCCGCAGCTCCACCTTGCCGGGCTCCCGCTTACCCTCCAAGTCCACAATGTCAAGCAAATCCTAAGATGAAAGGGCAGCAGCAGCAGCAGCAGCAGTAGCAGCCATAGCAGTAGCCATAGCAATTGCAGTAGAGCAGGTGGGAGGTGAGGGGTCTCTGGGCGCCTCAGGTCGTCCATGTAACTCCCCCCCCCCACATACACACACAACTCCTCCACGGGGCCCGTCGGTCATCCTGGACGGAAGATAAAGACGATGTCAAGACACACTTGTTCACTGCGTCTGGAACCCTCCCATGCCCCGGGAACACTTCCCACCCCCCCCGGGCACACCCCCTACTACCCGCAAACCCAACTCCCTACTCCACCACCCGCCTGTGCCGTACCTCCAACATGGCTGTTTTAAGGACCCAGTCTGTCTTGTCACTGGCGGTGAGGGAGGGGGAGGCATTCACCTGCGCGTCGACACAAACACACCACGAAACACACCACGAACAGGCGTGGGGGATACCGGGAAGGTGGGGGTGGGCCCTTGGGGGTGGTGATATAGCACGGGGCGGAGGCGGAGGTGGAGGATGAGGATTAGGCTGCACGTGCAGGGTATCCTGCCGCTGGTAGGGGCCAGGGCTCGTCCTTCGTCCCGCCGGGTGACCCCGCCATCGACCCCATGTCCCAACGGCCCCTGGAAATAATGCATATGCATACTGTCGCTCCCCCCTCTACCTCGCACCTCGATGAGCCAGGGCTTTAGGTTGGAGTCTATCATGACGTCATAGCCGTACAGCTCGAAGCAGTGCTTGTCGTTGATCATGGCGGGCTGCACCGCAAGCAGCGCGCGAATGATGATGTTCTGGATGGCGTGAAACAGCTCCGCGGCGGCCTCCGCACCTGGGGTGGGGGTGGGGGTGGGGGTGGGGGGAGGCGCCGCGCCCGTCCGGTGATGGTCATCGTGGTGTGTATTACGTGTGTACGGCTATGTGGTGGCAGCCCCATCTCCTGTCGGACGGAGCCCCCACCTCCCCGCCCGCCCTCACCTAGTGGTTGGATGTGGGGCGGCAATCAGCCGTTTTTTCTTCTTCGGTCTTCTCCTATCGGACGGACTCCCCTCCTCTCCACCCGCGCTCCCACTCCACCCCATCCCACCTTTCACACACGCACATACACAGGCACGTACACACGCACATACACACGCACATACACACGCACATACACAGGCACGTACATACACGCACATACACACCATGTTTCGTGGTGATGTAGGTCCTGAGGCTGCGAATGGACCACTTGAGTCCCTTCTGTGCGTCGAAATTCGGCGCATGCTTCTGAATGGCCACATTGGTCAGGTGCACGTAGGTGTTGGTGATGTCCTCCTTCTTGGTGCTGTACCGCATGTTGGTGAAGCGGGCGAAACCGGAGCTGCAAGACGAGCGGGGCGGGGCGGGGCGGGGCGGGGCGGGGCGGCCATCATGGGACTTA